GGTTATCTTTGTCCTATCAGCGATATTGGTGATTAAGAGCTTGCATATTTCGTGATATAGGTTGCTGTCAGTTATTTGTAAAATATTTTCACCGATCGAGAATTTTAAACATGTTTAAAAATCGCAATCGGTAATTTTTCACCGATAAAACTTATCTTTTTCCAATAGCAGTTGATAGGTGGAAAACATTTATTGGTGACCAATACACGTAGGTGATATCGGTGTTAAATACTCTGTCATCAGTTAACTCCATAATTTGGCTAAAAAAACTACCGATCAATCACCGATGGCTCTGTGTAACTGTGGTGTTAAAGTACAAAATTCAACACAAATGGCAAATTTGAGTGGCATCATGACTGAGTGGTTAATGCGTTGGACTAGTAATATAAAGATTGCTAGCCTCGTGGGTTCAAGCAGTTGCATCCTATAGTAAGAAACTTAATATACATTGCTCAGTATGAACTGATTCAAGAGTGTGTCATATAAGCTTATTATAGCATCCTGCACAATGGAACTAAATAAATAAATATGTATAATCCGGTCACACAACTAACCGAAATATAGAAACACTTCCGAAATACCGGAATACCCGATAATAGATATAAGAAAGCCAAAATACCCATTAATGATAGATTAAGGAAGCCAACTAATACACCCGATATATTTATGGATCCGGAATACCGCAGGTTTTAACCAAAATAACATCTAATTATTGCTTTGAAATCGTGTTTTAAAACAGACTGTTGTCTGGAAAACAAATCACTCCCAGACCTTGTACAACTTGTACAAGACCTAGAAAAAAGGACAGTTCAAATGACTGAGAAGTACTTTATTACAAAGCGGGGACTATAGACTGGCAAAGACTCACAGACAATTTGAAAAGATGAAAACTGTTATAATTTGCAATTTGAAATTGCAGATACAGACAACAATCTGTAAATTATCTGTCTTTGTGAATAACTCCAAAAAAAAAAAAACCCCAGCGAATTATTCTTACTGTACAGTACACACGACAATAAGGCTAACATGAGAATTATGACACAAAATATTAAATTGAGTGATTATTTATCTTTTAAGGTATTTCGGCTTTCTTATATCTGTTATCAGATATTCCTAGGGTATTTCGGTAGTGTATCGGTATTTCCGCTATCGTGTGACCCAGTACAATCTAAAGTGACTATGATAACTTTTGATTGCACCCTTAAGTGTCAAAAAAAGAAACCCACATAAAAAAAAAGATAAATTATCTAGTGTGAAGTTGTCATAAAAAAATAATACAGAATGAAATATTTTGAATCTTAAATCTTGATCAATCCAGGACAACTTAAATTTCCTCTTATTAATGGGGTACTCAAATTTTCATTGTTTCCTCATGTTTGTATGAGGTTTATAAGACAAACAGTTGATGTTTTATGTTGGCTTATATTTTATGAATCTCGGAAACACTACACGTTTGTGTAAATATTACTCATCATGTGTTATTTGTTTGAAAAGTGTAAAATTGGTATAATTTTGCAAATAACGTGACAAACTGTTCCAGTTTAATACAAGAAAAGCATTGATGCAAAGCATCAAAGGGCGACGCCAAAAGAATTTGATCCAGGTTTGCACCTAAATTACATTTTTTTGGTTTGTGACAATTTTAAGATGAACACAAGTTCTTTTATCAATCTGGTCATATTTTTTCTTCCCAGGTCTGATACTTGTGCCTGTGCATATAATAAAAGCTTATTGCTTAGGTTGCAGACATGTCATTGACATATATTAGACATAAAAGAGGACCTAAAATGAACATCAGGGGGACACCATAGGTACTCAGAGCAGTAGTAGAAGGAGAACCAGCCACATCAACCAGCTGCTATCAGAGATAAGACTTGAACCATGTAAGAATGTCATTACATATGGCAGATGCTTGAAGTTCCATGAAGAAGAAGAAAAAGAACTTCTTCATGTGCAGTATAGTGTGATCAACTGTATCAAATGCTTTTTGTAGATCTAAAAGTATCATGCAATACTGCCTTTGTCCATTTCAAATAAAATACAATCTATTAAATGAATCAAACATGTGTCAGTTGAAAAACCACTTCTAAACCCTGACTTAAACTGCCTGACCATGACTCGAACCCATGACTTTCAGAAGACCAACTGAGCTATCTGGCCGGCTACACATTTTCTCTTTTAATAATGAAATAGTTCTAAACCACAACATATTTCCCCACTCTATTGGTTTATGTCCTTGAATTTCTGATGTTTACAGAGCATAGTGAATTAAACTCATGGTTATATGCAGTCACTGGATGAGAAAAACTTTCAGCTTGACCAGAACTCAAACCTGTGACCCACAGAATAATGTACCGCGGCTGTAAGCGATTGAACAATCTGGCCGCTTACACATTTTCTGGCCTAAATAGTGAACAGTTCTAAACCGTGACAGATATTTAGATTTTTAAATTAACAGATAATTAATTCTTAATTAATAAATAAGAAATAAAAACCTTACATACTCATAGTCTAAATTAAAATAACAATTTATATATTATGTATAATTATTTTTACTAAAAAGGGCTTAGACAGTAAACTATTGGTTGTGCCATTATTTATAACAGGTCAATTTGAAAGTGAACATAACTGTGCTAATACATGTACAATATCTATTTTTTGCACGGATAAAAAACTAACCTTGTTTCTATGATAAGAAATTTTATGAAGGCTGATTTGTATTTTGCATCAAGGGCACTTGGCGAAAACATGAAAATGCAACAAACACACTACTTTGTGTCTGGCACCCGGTTACTTTTTTGTACTTTGTTGGTTTTCATGTGGCAAAAATCACCCGCTATAAAATATAGTGTACAAATTTATTCAAGGGCAAGTAACAATCTACTCTATGAAAAGTCTGTTGTCGGGTTGACTCAGGAGACCTAAGCTTGGAAATTGAGACCGGTGTCCCCCCATTACAAATAGATAAGACAGAAGCTGTCCTTTTCAATCTATGCACTTGTTAGAAAAAAATTAGAATAACCATTCAAAATATGATTTTTTGAGACTTTATCAATTATATTGCTTGATCCAAGTTTCAGGACATTTTCAATCAATACATGTATTATCATTTATAACTTTAAATGAAAGTCTCATCCCTTTAATAATAATGACATAACTGTAACTCTTTAAATTCAGAAATATTATAAGTCTCATCATATCAATATACTAAGATATACATGTATGCACATAACATTAATAATTCCCAGTTTCTATTAAATAAATATGAAATCCTAACATTAGTATAAACAACTATAACCTGTAGACTGATCAATACATGTATTATCATTTATAAATTTAATGCAAGTCTCATCCATCATAACTGTAAGTCTTTAAATACAGAAATACACATTATATCCATATACTATGATACACTTGTATGCACATTACATTAATAATTCTCAGGTTCCATTAAAAATAAATATAACATCCTATTAACAGGAATTCATAATCTTGTAGAAAGAAAACTATAATATCTGGTCTAGGGTATATAAAGCCAGTAAAAATATATATCAATATTCACTCATCAGGGCCTCTCTGCTTTTGATGACCTTACAACTGGTGAATTTTATAAAAAACAAAAAATAGTAAGTAATACTAAAGATAGAGTAGACAGAAAAGAACAAATAATTTAGTAAACATGAGTTACTTCCCCTTAAAATAGAGAAAACCTGAAACCCAAAAGAACACCCTAAACATTAAAATTACGAAATGTTGCAGGCTCAGTCAGTTTTATTAAGCCATGCAAATTAATGGTAAAGTATTCATAAAAAAAATAGATGACTATGTGACAGCAGTTATTGCAGAAAATCGGATAGCTTTCAACATCCGGATACTGGTACACTTTGTAAAAACAACCATTCTGTGCAACAGATCAACGTAATATGGATAAAATCAATAGGATAATCGTTAACAACAGTCCATTACCTATCCTTATACTCATTTGCAGGTGAACTTTCTTCTTGTAAGAAAATTTTGAAAATATATAAATGAATGAACGAATATATACGGCATCAATGTAGACCACAACGATATTCGAAATCCGGGTTTTAGTATTGTCAATAAAACTAAGGGACAAGCTGTTAAACTGAGCCTGCAATTTCGTGAAAATAATATCACAATGCACATGCTTTTTATATAAAGTTATTAAATAGAAATATAACAACATATTTGTTTACTTGATTTTTACGAATCAAAATAAATCTAATTAACTCAACATGAAATTAACTGCTAATAATAACAGCTCCTTCCATAGGCAAAAATAAAAAGCATTCCATATAAGACGACGCCGCTCACCGGCGTCGCCAATAAATATCATGAGCTAAAATACGTTCAGTGGAATAGTTTAACAAAACAGATAATTTTGCAGGAATAGAAATGTATAATTATAGTATATAAAATGTGCAGTGTTCCTTTAATGATACATTATATAGTTAGAAAGCTAAATGAAAATGATGGATAAATAATAATGATATTTTAAAGGGACTTCACTGAGGTTTTTTGACATTATGGAACTGGAAATAATTTTTTTAGAAAAATGTTCCATTTGATGTAGATCTACGTAGACCAATATTTTTTGTGCAGAATTTCAGATCATTGTCCCATTCTGTTTGTTCAGAATAATTCTAATTGCCAAAAATGACCCAAAATTGAAAAAGCGTTGCAACAATTTTTAATTTATTTCCGGGTGTATCTCTTGATCATCTTTTGCATGTCTTTCTTGGTTTGCAGTGGTCACTTATGTTGATTCAGGCCCTGCCATAAGAATACAATGTATCTTTGATTGCAGGTATGTGAATGCAGTAGTTTGTCAGCCAAAGTTCTTCTTCATTATAGAATTTTTTTAAGTTGATTTTTTTTTACAATAGACAGGTGCAACTTTTCACAATGACAAACAAAATCTATGTGGATATTTGATGTATATTGAAAAAAGTTACGAATTTAATTTTTCTTTATTACAGAATGTTGTGACACAGATTGTATTCGTGGGTTCAAGTTTTCTATGCCATCACAGGATGTGTGTAGCGGGAGCATCGATGAGCGTATGCAGTCTACGTGTAACCTGATGGAGGAAGAGAAACCCGTTCTTCATGGGGTCAACATACGCGCAGCCACACCAGATAGACTCATACATCTGTGTGTGGAGAGCTTTGGTAAGCGAGTTGACCTTTTACATGCTTTCAAACTCATAACGCTGACCGAAAATTTTTCCGTGCAGCATACAGATGAGCTTTTTTCTGAAAGTTTATAATCATTTCTTTTATCACCTTCCTAAATTGTTGACTAACCTTATCTGTCGTATTGGTACTTTCCATGGATCTCTATTATTAAATGGATCTCACATTGTCAGGTTTGTAAGGTCAAGGTCACCATGTCTAGATATACATTTACCTACTTTTCCTCATTGTAAGGCAATGTTTTTAGGTTTGCCATAGTAACATTGGGTCATTTGTTTAAGACTTATTTTGTTTTTCAGCTAATCTGAACCACTTAAAGCTTTAGAGTTTTTTTTGAGGTCTTTTTTCTATGTTGTATTCACAATTTGTCATACAATACTCATTAACGGAAAGCTAGGACTTTGTCCTATTGACACAGTTTGTCCCAATCACAACTTTTCGGCCCTTTCAGACAGTCTTCAGAAAAGGACCTCATACACAAAAGTAAGAATACCCAGAATGGATACGGTATTTCGGTCCAACCTACGCTAAGAAACTTAACATGTAAACAAATAACAATTTAATGCTAGGAGTTTATGACTAAATCTATACCAATATATCAAGTAAAAGTCCACCTAAATTAAAAATTATTATCGATATAAAATTAAAAAATACATTATTTATATACTTACGATGGTTGTAGAAACCGAAAGTACAAAATATCTACCTGTTGACAATAAATCGGATTTGGTTATAATTGTATCTCAGTGGGCATTTTTAAATTGATTATGATTGTCAGACATATGTTTAATCTAAGTTGTATCGAAATATACTTTATTTTATTTGGACCTCAAATATATACATTCCTTATACATTATCAACGCTTACATTTTCATCTAAAACCACGTGGTAGAACTACTTTCAATCCGTATTAAGTCCAAGGTTATTATGAACAATAGCGGAGATGTTCCGACTAAGTTTGTCCTATATATAAAATTCTGCATAAAAGAAAGAAATTATAATGATTTTATATCTAATAATTATGTCTCTACAGCAGATGTATTATAGCGCTGATATATATATATGTCCATGATCCAGATTATGTACAGACATAAAGGACATAATTCCCTGAAAATTATAGATACATGTAACAGCTTTTCTCTTGTTCAGAAAAGGACCTTGTTATTACTCTGAGAGATTGTTGTTTAAAGAAAAACAGACTCATCATGGCAATTTGTTAATTGTGAATTTCAAAAACAGAGTTGATCATAGCATTGTTAATTGTGATTTTCAAAATCAGAGTTATCGTGACACTGCTATGCAGTTTTAAAAATCACAGTTATCATAGCATTGTTAATTGTGGCTTTTAAAGATCAGATTATCATGGCACTATACATGTATATTGTTATTTTCAAAATCAGATTATGGCACTATAAAATGTAGTTTTCTATAATTAAACATATAACAAATATCAGTTTTTAAGTACATGTATTTGTTAAAGGATGTCCATAGCCCAGTGGTTAAGTTGGTTGACTTCATACCACTTGCTCCTCACTGCAATTGGTTTCGAATTCCATCAGGCACTTTGGATTTTTTTTCTGGAGGCAGCTACTTCAACGGATGACAAGTTTTGTTTGGTCTACTATAGATTGCCTTGTATTTAAATTACATATGATGATGATTTTAAGAAGATAGTCCAAATATGCCTCATGACAAATGACAAGCGTCATCTGAAGAGCTGGCACACCCCCGTTCAGGCTGGCCTGGTTCTATACTGGTGACAAAGGCTTTTCATTTTTGGTCTGACTAAAATAATTCTCTTGTATTTATATTACAGCTGATGATGGGATGATTATTGAAGACAGCAAATATCCAAATGTCATGTTCCTCATGCACAAATGGTACATGTCGTCATCTGAAGAGCTCGCACAGGCGTTCGTTAATTTGTATCTTTTATACCTAGATTTAGTTTGTAACAAATATGCCTAATTTAACCTGTTACCTGGTTATTTTTGTAATAGATATGCCTAGGTTTAAGTTAAAGGGAATTTTAATATCAAAATACAAAAATGTAGCTGCCAACAGTATAAAGCCTTGTGTTTATGTCTTGGAAATATGTGTTGTTTCAAAATGGTTTTATGCTATGAAGTTGTCAATCTGGAACTGTCAAGGTACTGGTAATTTTGAAATTCTTCAAAATCAAATCACTAACACTGAGTAGCTCAGCTGGATGTGCAGTCTGGGTTTTAAGCATAATGGCAAAAGTGGTGAGTCTTTAAAAAAGAGTAGGTTCAAAAGGGGCTTAAGCTCATAATTTAATATTAGTTGAATTGATACTAAGATGCTTTTATTTTGTTCAGATATTGACACAAATTTGCCATAGGTTCTTACCTAGCATTTTATTGACAGGGTTTGTGCTTTAATTGACTGTTTTTAGTCATGTACAGTGTATATTTACTGTTGATTAATCCTTAACCAAGATGTTTCAGATATCAAAATAGTGAAGAGAAAATCATTTGTCCCTACCCAAAGTGTTCACACCTTCCCTCACAGAAATTATGTCCTATCCAGATATACAGAGCCAAAATATGCTATGCTGTAAGGTAAGAATATAATATTTTATTTAAAATATCTTGCTTGATATTTTTTACCCATCAGGTAAGTTCAGTGAAATGAGCACAAGTTTAATGTGTTTCAGATTCATGCTTATAAGCCTTTGGGTTGGGCACATTATGATGACTTGCCACTGATGGGGTTTGAACCCGTGCAGCTAGTGATCATTTGAATACTAGTCTGACTCGTTAACCACTTGGTCATGCCGCCACAATAATTACAAGTGGGCCTGGATACTGACATGCTTATGCCACCATTATAGATCTCTGGCAAGTGTGCACATGCAGATTTTAAGAAAACTGAAAAGATTCAAGTAATTAATATACAAGTTATTTGCGATAAATGACTGATTTTTTCGTATTTATCACTATATTTCTACTGCGTTACTAATGCAGTAAGAGCTATTTTTGCATATTTTGTCCCCTATTTTTTGTAATTTATGAAGATTGTAATCGCATTGTGTAATTTCATATATTTATTCGCTTTACAATATTTTACTTTTGAATACATTTTCAAAATGTTTATTGACAATAAGCATGAATCTGGAGGCGTGCTGCTTTAATGTCAACATTTTGAAGTTGAAGTCACTATACTAGTTAACAACAGATATTAACTCATATTCAAAGATTTGCAAGTGTCTTACATAAATTAAGCAGTTAAAGATAAATTAGGAAAATAATAAATGACTAGTATACAATAGTCTTTAATGACTTGTCATCTTTAAATTATTGATATACATTTAGAAATCCCTTCAACTTAAGCATTGAACTTCATCAGTTTAGAAATAAAAAACAAGACAAATCCAGGCAGGAACTCAGTGTTAATAAATGTCCTCTGGATAAAATAAGAAACAAAAAATGTCCTCTAGGGGTCAATACTGCTTCTTTGATACAGCATAAAGATCTAAGCTTACATCATCATTATAGTGCTTGCAGATCTAGATAGGAAAATAAAATCAACTATACCCACAACTTAGTAATGTCATTCACCCTTACCTTGCTAATTATCTTAAATAGACTTGTCCGTTTTTTAATCTGGACAAAACCATGTATGATTTAAGGGGAAATTTTCAAAAGTATTCTATCACTGAAGTACAATGGTGTCCGTACTTTCAATGCCTGAAGGGGTGGATGGACCCTCATTAAGCATAGAACACACACACAGCTCATGCATGCATCAGTCCTCTATCTAGGTCTGCCCTAGTCACATGGGTAGAATAAGTTGCCGCCTGAGTAGGCAAAGGGTCAATGTTCTATACACGATTATGTTCCATTTGAACCATTAATGAGATCTTAACTCTTGTGGGTTATTTGTCATATAAATGTGACGGTGATTATAATACCTTAGAATATTGTATATGAAGATAGTTGATATGTATCGTTGTCAAAGTTCCTGTCACTTTTTTTTCTGTGCCATATGATTTACAAGAAATTTCTGTCAACTTTCTCTTTTATGCTGTATGATTTAGGTGAACGTAACGTCATTTTGACCTCCTTCTTTTTCTTTCATTTTCTTCTGCTTTAATTTGCATATCTTTTCTCACATGTTCTATTCCTTATTGTCAGCAATATTAGAACGATAAAAGTGGCGTAATTCCTCTGTAGAACTTGAACGATATCATATTTCCCTATAGAATACTTCCATCAGCTTCAGGGGGCGTGGTGCGATAGTAATTTTATCTACTTCATGATATTCAGATTCAAATAATGACTGTTTGAGCACCAATTAGATGTGTCAACGACTCTCTTACTTTAGTTTGTAAGTTAGATCTGATTTTGATTCCAAGGTTACGATACTAAAAATAGAATACTGAGTATATCTCTCTAGTAACGTCTATGTCAGGAGTTATAAATATATGTTTTAGTTTCAGTATAAGGTTAAAAGTCTATCATACCATTTGCTAATTAAAGTGTGGTGGTTACTGACATTTAAATTGGAAATAATGAGAAAATGAGAATGTAATAAGCATAATTTAGACTATTAGCAACATTATAAGTCAGTTCTCCACTTTTGAGAACAAAGTTTATATATTGTTATGAGGTTAACTGAAATATTACCAGACATTGTAAAGCAAAAGTTAAATTACCACATCAAGATATTATGTACTTACAATATTGTCAAGTCCTGGTAACTTCTTTGATCTAAGACAATGTTCAAGGTCACACCTTCAGGTCAAATGTAAAAAGTTTATAATTTATGTCTCTTTTGCGCCCTGGTTGTATATGCCAGTGGCATAGGGACCTATTTGTATACCAATGACAGTGGGCCCTGGCTGTATATACCAGTGGCACAGGGACCTAGTTGAATTCCAATGGCATAGGGGCCTAGTTGTATACCAATATCACTGGGGCCCTGGCTGTATACCAGCGGAAAGATTTTAAGAACTTAACACAGTTTATAAACTAAATCACATAGCCTAGGTTAATATGTTTCTGTAAACCCTTTGCAATTTTTTTAGCTTGACTATCCGATAAGAATATTAAAAGTAGAACTATTGTAGTCACCCGAACGTCGGCGTAACCACTTATGTTAAAGTTTTTGTAATACCTTAAATATTTTCAAAGTCCATTGACATATGGCTTTGAAACTTTGCACATTTGTTCACCATCATGACCCCAACCTGGAGGCAGGAGGAGGTAACTGTATCAAGCATTTTGACAGAATTATGCCCCTTTTTCGACTTAGAATTTTTGTTAAAGTTGTTGTAATACCTTAAATATTTTCAAAGTCCATTGACATATGGCTTTGAAACTGTGCACACTTGTTCACCATCATGACCCCAACCTGTAGACCGGAGGAGGTAACTCTCTGAAGCATTTGGCAGAATAAGGCCCCCTTTTCAACTTTGTTTGCATACCACCTCAGATATTTTCATATTCTATTGACATCTGGCTTTGAAACAAGTTGACATTTAATACTCTTCTTTGAGATCATAATAGGACTCTCTGCAAGGCTTTTAACTGTAACATGGATTTAAAGAAAAAATTTGCCTTTTTGTTAGCTTAGAAAATTTTACATTATCAAGGCTTTTTTACTATCAAGCACTAAGAATAGTCAAGCGTTGCTGTCCTACCGACAGCTCTTGTTTTTATTAACAAGGTTTTCACTTTATAACATATTGTCTATTTTCTTAATATCTATTTTCTGTTCCAGTTTTGGGAAATCAGTAATTTTTACATGAATTTATTTACTTAAGTTATTGAGACTTGTTTATTACAGCTGTCGCTTTTATTACATTTTTCATGCAATTCTTAATAATAATATGATCAGATTTTATCATTATATTTTAACACACTTTCCAGGAAGTCATTACAATTGACCTATTTTTTATGTCTGTGCTTGATTTATATTTCTTAGAAAACAAACTGATTGTCATGTTTTGTATAGGAATCTAATACACACTCTTTGAGTAAAAATGAATATTTGAGCCGCGTCATGACAAAACCAACATAATGGGTTTGCGACCAACTTGGATCCAGACCAGCCTGCGCATTCGCGCAGTCTGATCAGGATCCATGCTGTTTGCTTACCAACTCTATTACAAGTAGAGAAACTGAAAGCGAATAGCATGGATCCTGATCAGACTGCGCGGATGCGCAGGCTGGTCTGGATCCATGCTTGTCGCAAACCAATTATGTTGGTTTTGTCATGACACGGCTCATTTTCATTTAAGATAAAATTGTGTTGATTTTTTCAGGTATTGGATTCGGCAGTTTCCAGTTCAGTTTGACCTTGACCCCAAGCTACAGTCTGTGATCAAAACATTTGGGGCGCTTGTACAGCGGACAGGAAATAGCACCTTCAAAGAACTTATAGACCTCTCGAAAGTGTGAGATAATTTATTAATGAAATAAGCAAAAACTGTTAATGAAATGCCAGTACAGGGTTTTCAATGCACAATAAGGGTATGGCAAGTTTTTTTTTATGTAATCAAAGTAGGTAAATATATATATTTTTTTATTTGTAACCCATAACCTCCTAAAATTCTAAAATGGACTTGTCCATGTTTTATTTTGGAACTGTCCATTATCAGTTTTATGGAGACATCAAGATTAAAATTTAAGTCAGCCATCACAAAGTATAGAGCCTGCTCAGGCTAGCCTGGCTAATTAGTGGCAAAAGCTGAGTACTTTCGGTTCTAGCAGGGTAATGGTTACCGTAAATATCTTCATTAGATTTTTTAGCTCACCTGAGCCGGCTTAGGGTGAGCATTTAGGATCCTTGAATGTATGTCCACTGTCCACATTCAGTTTGTTAATACTCTAGTGGTCACATTTTGCCTCAGTTGTCACCAATCTTGATCAGAATGTTTTTCCAAGTAATTGCTCTGACAAAGTCGAACATGGTTATCTCCGACAAAAAACTAGGTAACAGAAACTAAAAAATGAAAAATCATGATAATACTCTAATGGCTACTGTTTTGGTCAGAAAGGTTGTTAAGATGATTTCTAGGTCAAGTTCGAATATGGGTCACCTGGGGTCAAAAAGTAGGCAACAAAGCCCAAATATGGAAGAACCTTGTTAACACTCTAGAAGCTACTGTTTTGGTCCAAATGTCCTGGAAATTGACCAGAAAGGTTGTTTAGATGATTTCTAGCTCAAGTTCGAATATGGGTCACCTGGGGTGAAACTAGGCAACAAAGCCTTAATATGGAAGAACCTTATTATCACTAGAAATGTAATATTTTCAGCCCATTTGTCTTAGAAATTTGTCAGGAACATTGTTTAAATGATTTCTAGGTTAAGTTCCAATATGGGTATTCTGGGGTTGAGAATTAGATGACAGCCTATATGGAAAAATCTTGTTTACCGGTATGCTTGCAGTATTTCAGGTGCAGATATGAATGTATAATATTAGTTTGAAGTTTCTGGTCAATTTGATCAATTTTCTTTTTATTAGCATGTTAGAATGGAAATACATCAAGATATTAATTCTTTCTTGCTTAGAAGTATAATAATGCACAGTCTATCAGGCATCATGATTTATATTCCTGCTCATTTAAACTAGAACTGCTCATTTTTCTACAATAAATTAATATCTTTTTTCAGATTAAAACAAGTTTTTTCTTTTGAAAGAGTGACTCAGTTTTAAAGTAAACACATAGACCACTTAATTTATTCATTACAAAGTCACAGAAATGGATTTGCATCATGTATAGACATAGTTTTCTTAAGTTTCATGATGATTTAAAAGTGTTACGTTTAAACCTCAAAAGGTCAATTGTAGCTCAAAGGTTAGGTAGCACTCCACAGTTAATTTCAAGTTCCTGCCGTCAATGTCCTACAAGCAATAATTCTGATACCAAACTACACAACCTGGAAAAAGAAAACACATTTTGTTGAGAAAAAATATGACATAAGATTGCAAATCTACAAAGAAATTATCCCATCTGCAATAGGCAGGCAGTCAAAAAAGTTGCAATTCATTCCGTTGAAGCCCAAAATCTACAGTGGCCCGAGACCCAAAACAACACATTTCGTCCCTCTGGCAAAAAATATCTGCAAATATACAGGCTAAAGGAACACCGTCTCTGCTTTAGCAACTCCCTATACATGCAAAATATCACAAAGAAACAAGTCCTCAACCTTGTAGATTTTTTGCTACTGCTAAAAGTTTGTACCCCCCTGTAAAATGACTTCTTTTTACCGTGCATGCTGTTTAAAAGCAATGTTTACAAAAAATGGCGGCCTTGACATATATAATCAACAGCATGTGATTTCTGGCCATGTTTTCGAATTTGCCAGTGATCATATTAGATGTCACAAAAACAAATTTCATGCTGAAAATGCATTTTAAAGACAACCAGTCATTTAAATCCAGGATATTCACTATATCCAAGAAATCCTCCCTCCCTGGCCATTCGAAGCTGTGGCTTACATTACTGTGGTGTGCTACCTTATGAAGTTACCTGGGAATTGAGTATATTGTGCATTTGATTGAAAAATGTATTGCAGTATCTTAACAAAAAACAGAACTTTTTAATTTTAATCAAACATGTTCAATTAAATTTTAATTTGTAATTTTAGCCCATCATATGATTGGATGAGAAGTATATCAGTTCGGAATCCTTCAATGCGACATAATCGTAAAGTTTCCCTTGTGTTCAATCATCTGGAACCAGAAGAGTTGGCAGATCACCTCACCTACCTGGAGTATAGAGCTTTCAGGCGGATAAATGTAAGTTTACCAGATAAATGTAAGAAAACCAGAGAAAGGTAAGTGTACAGCATAAATGTAAGAAACATGGTTGTACATGGTCATATAACCTTTCAAAAGTCTTTCTTGCAAATTTCTTGCATATCAGACAGGATTATCTAACTGGTGTTAGAAAAACCTGTCTTACACCCCTCATGAAAGACAAGTCACGTGCTTTAAATGATGTCATTGCCGCACGCCTTTTATGAATGAATTGCGTTCTTCGGATGACGTCATTTTTAACCAGGTTTTTCGAAGCAACTCCTCCTACATTTCTCCACAGATTTTGACCAAACTTTTACTGAACCTTTGTCATCAAGTGCCCTGGCGCATATTGTAAGGGTTTTGTGATTGGATAATATTTGACCTAGTTATGGCCCTTTGTTTTTTTTCCTTATACAGAATATATAGTGAACAATTTCTTCTGTATGCAACTCTTCCTACAATTTTCTCAACAGATTTTAACCAAACTTTCACAGAACCTTTGTCATCAAGTGCCCTGGCCCATATTGTCGGGGTTTTGTGATTGGATAATGTTTGTCCTTATTATGGCCCTTTGTTTTTTTTCCTTATATAGAATATATAGTGAACAATTTCTTCTGTGCGCAACTCCTACATTTCTCAACAGATTTTAACCAAACTTTCACAGAAGCTTTTTCATCAAGAGCCCTGGGGCATATGGTCAGGGTTTTCTGATTGTATTATATTTGACCCAATTATGGCCCTTTGTTTTTTTTTTCCTTATACAGAAGATATAGTGAACAATTCATTTGTGCGCAACTCCTCCTACATTTCTTAAACGATTTGGACCAAACTTTCACAGAAGCTTTGTTATCAAGTGCCCTGGCGCATATTGTCAGGGTTTTGTGATTAGATAATATTTGACCTAATTATGGACCTTTGTTTTTTTCTTTACACAGAATATATAGTGAACAATTACTTCTGTACGCAACTCCTCCTACATTTCTCAACGGATTTTAACCAAACTTTCACAGAACCTTTGTCATCAAGTGCCCTGGCCCATATTGTCGGGGTTTTGTGATTGGATAATGTTTGACCTTATTATGGCCCTTTGTTTTTTTTTTCCTTATACAGAATATATAGTGAATTCTTCTTCTGTGTGCAACTCCTCCTACATAATTCATGATTTATATTGCATATAGTTACAATTTTTTGCTTGTATTTGTATTTCAACTACAACATATTTATCTGCAATGGTGATAATAGAAAACCTGGTTTCATGGCATTGCCATTTTTCTTGTACTGTTATGAATGAAGTTGTAAGTTCAACATAATGGGTTGAACTACTTAAAGAAAAAAAGTGTGTAATGAGAATATCAGTTTTCATAATTTCTGTTATAATAATTGATATGTAATATGCAAGAAAAAGAATCAAACACTGGCTGTCGGTACTGACCAGAATATTTAGCTCTCGGGTAACTGTTTAGCGGAAACTCGTCAGAGCTTTGTTACCACTGTAAACAGTTACTCTTGAGCTAGATATTTTGGTCTGTACTGGTTGACAGAATAAGATTCTTATATTGCATAATTCTTTTCCCCGATTAAAGAAAAATAAATCTCCATAAATTTGCTGCAGCCATATATAATTAAGAAATAATATCGGTCTTAGCAGTGTTAATCAGCTATTTAACACCGGTTTCGAGTTTTGATGCGTAGGAATAGGCATGCAGATAGATAATTGAAAGATGTACAAATAAGGTAACAAAGCATTTGGTTCAAAAATCTTTTTTTTTATATTTCAGTTTACTGATTTCAAGAACTATGCAATGACAGCATCATTGAAGGATAACCCCAAGTTGGAACGTTCTATCGCTTTGTTTAATGGTCTATCACAGTGGATACAGTGTATGGTTCTCAGTAAAACCACACCTCAACAGAGAGCTGATGTCATTGTCAAGTTCTGTAATGTTGCCAAGGTAACAGTTCCTATATAAGACATCAAAGATGTTCCCCGAAATCAGTTGCTCACCATAGAAAGGTCCTGTAGACAATTTTTCCCTAAAATATCATAATAAACCTAACCTTTAGTTACACTCAGTTAAAGTGTTGTACTGTGGGGTTTAGCCAAAAACCTGTTAGAAAATTCAATAACCAGTAACCAAGGTTAGTACTAGACCAATAACCAAGAAAGTTTAAGAATATTTCATATATTACCTTTGTTTTAATATGACAAGATATGACATTTTGTTTGTAATTTAGCCGTACAGACGTGTGTTTTTTTCTCAATTGCATGCTATCTGATTGTGTATAGTACTGCCGTAGTGGAAAATAATTAAAATGTACTCTTTAATTGGATCTTTTGTAATCTTGTCGAGTACAGCAAAATATGAACTAAATGTCATACCTTGTCAGAAAGAAAGAAAGTTACAATGTATTGTTAAAAATCTAAGAGTTCCATAGGTATAGTAGGTTAAATGTTTAACCCAGTTATTAAAATGGTTAGCAGTTTTGCACCTACTCAATTATTCCTCAGAAATCCAGATCTTTTTAATTCTACAGAAATGTCAAACATATGTTTAATAATGTTTAAATATAGGATTAAGAGCAGGTTAGATGTTTTACGACTGAAAAAAAGTAGTGCTGAACATGCATTAATGTGTTGTAAAGGTAGGAAAATGTAAACAAAGTCGTATTTTGACTGTCATACAAAATAGTAATTCACTATAATTATACGAATTGCCAACAAAGCTAAAGATGCAAATGATAGTTCCTGAAACTATGAAGCAAATGAGTATATTTTTGGAAACTGTAACAAGATACAAGAAATAAACAGTTTTTGAGAAATAAAAATGATAGCATTTCTGAGGCATAATGGGCCTTTACCATTTCATAATTTGCATTTCAGAAATTACGAGCTTTGCAAAATTTTAATTCTCTGATGGCAGTGGTTGGTGGTCTTACACACAGTGCCCTGGCCAGACTGTATAAAACTACAGCCTGTATACCGTCAGAAACTCAAAAGGTAAGTCTTGTATAAAAGTTTGAATACTCAGGGGCAATAATAACTAAATTGTGCCAGTATAGATGGTTTAAAAACCATACCACCCTTCATTCTTACAACAAAAAGCATAGTGATTTTAGTTTGACCATTTGAAAACCTTAAAGCAGCACACCTCCAGATTCTTGCTTATTTTTATGAAAATTCTGAAAATGTACTTAAAAAAGTAAAGTATTGTGAAGTGAACAAAGAAACAATTTACAAATTGCAAGCGACACAACCAATGTAAATTACCAAAAAGTGGTCAAGATATGCTAAAATATGCATTAGTAACACAGTAGAAATATGGTGTGATTGTATGACATTGACCAAGACACATAACTTTAGCTTATATTTTTACTGAATTACTCCCCTTTGAGAATTAAAAGATACCCAGCATGGCTTTATTGTGTGCTAGATTTAGCTGCCAATCCATATGTGGACCCATTTTGAAATTTCCATCAGAATTTTCAATTCATGTTAAATTTACTCATATACATGTATATTCACTTAGATCAAATTCCTGCAAATACATTTTGTACTTTTACATGGGTTTTGAAAGATATTATCTTACATATTAATTCATATTTTTTATACTTACTTAGAATTCCAAGTATTTCTAATTATATGCTGTTTAAAAGTACATTGCAGATATAGAATCAGGTCAAACAACTTATTGTAGAATTGCATACTATAATTAGTCAATTTTTTTTTTTTATCAGCCACTTGTCTGTACAGTGTGTAGCCAGTTGACATTTTCAGTTTTGTTAAGAATTCGGTCAATGGAATTATACATTAATATAGCCAGACTTGAGTTAGCAAAAGAATTTTTATGAAATATGATGCCGATCATAAGTAGCGCATTTATTTGACTTGATTTATGAAGAAGTAATTTTGATTTTCTGTAGTGAACTGTATGTATTTGAGCACTATTTTGCATTTGTTTTAACAAAATTGAAATATATGAACTTTTTTTATAATAGAATCACATTGCATTTATTAAGTTGTTGATATTTTATACTGGAAGATTATTGTCTTTAGCGGTGTTCGTACTCTCAGTGCCTTAAAGGGTGGATGGACCCTTATTAAGCCTAAAATACAACATAATTGTCTATAACGGCCTTTTGTTTGCTAATATTAATATCCTGCTTTATCACACTAACCTGGCTTTGGAAATTACCCGGTTTGTGAATTTAAAAGCTATTTATTAAGAGAGGCATATTTGTTTTGTTGGAAAGAAGTTAAGACCTGGCACAGGTTACATTGACACTACCATAATTACATTGTTATATGCTGGGATTCTAACTGCAAGACTGTGTCAATTTTTTCACTAAACTCAAATATTATAATTCTGATCATAAGAAAATTATGACATAATTGGGCCGTGCCATGACAAAACCAACATAATGGGTTTGCGACCAGCATGGATCCAGACAAGCCTGCGCATCTGCGCAGTCTGATCAGGATCCATTCTGTTCGCTAACCAACCCTATTACAAGTAAAGAAACTGATAGCGAACAGCATGGATCCTGATCAGACTGCGTGAATGCGCAGGCTGGTCTGGATCCATGCTGGTCGCAAACCCATTATGTTGGTTTTCTCATGGCACAGCTCACATATGTTTGAGATAATCATGTGTAACATCTGGATGCTATGACCTTGTATAGTCTGTGAAGAAATATCTGCTAGTACATGTATACTTATATGAAACACTTAGAGGTCTTCAGCTTGACACTAGAAGTATATTACTGTGAATTCACTTATTTTCGTGGGCATGAAATTTCAAGATTTGTCACAAATGACATTTTGGTGGGTTCGTAAATTCAATTTTTTGCAATAAGTAAAAATGCAAATAATAGTGAAAATGCAAAATAATCTTACAGAAGACAAAATGAAATTTCATTGGATTTTAAATTTGTGGATTGACCAATCGACGAAAAGCCATGAAAATTAGTGGCTTATGAATAATAATGATTTTGCAGTAATTGTTTATGACCTTTTGTGTAATAAGAAAAAAAAACAATCCCTCCACATCATGTCAATGAAAGGAAAGATTATATAGTAAAACAAATTGCTTTTTCTTTTTATCAACTGATTAAACATACTTTAGAGTCTTCAACTTTTAATAATTTAATGATTCATAATATACATTATTTTACACAGTGAGCAACAAGAAATTATGAAAAGAAAAACAAATATATTTCAAGGACCCAGAAATAACTTTTTCATAATGTGTTTTAATATCATTTGACATTTGAATTTCTGCTGAGCTTGCATAAAAAAGTAATCTGGATAACGCTGTGGGTATTGGTCGTAAGAAATCTAAAAATAGAAATATCAGTCTGTGTTATTACATGCTGTAACATTGATATTTTACTAGAACATTGTTGAACAATATTTCTGAGCAAAAGAGAAATTGAATTATTTCACCTAAGAAAGCTACCTAGCTGTTTATAGGAACATTGCTATGTCTACCTGTTAAAAGTTTGCTATTGCTCAGAATTACTAGTATGCAGTTTTGTGGAGACTTTCACTTTAACTGTAAAGATAGAAAGTCCCATGTTGACATTTCCAGTTTTATTACAGGACTGTCCAGTGTTAATAATAGGCAAAATTGGTCCCAGTGTTTTGAGACTCTTTGGATCAATCTTGACAAAAGCACAAATTTTTTTAGGAAAAAATACCAAAATATGTACTGACTGAAAGAAAGTGCAGACCTAGATCAGACATGTGCCGGCTGATCATGGTCTGCACTGGCTGCACGAGTAGAATCCATAGCTGCCTGCAGGCTTAAGGGTTATAATAGAGAAATAATATGTCCAACCATGCAAATTTCCACATAATCTGGTATGCTTGAGCATAAGAAAACTAATAATAATAAATTAGATATACATAGAGTAAAAAATGGTCAATGCAAAATTTCGAAACTTTGTAAAATTGGTGAAACATAGTTATTTTATATGCATTTATTAAGATATATTTTTATCATAATGCCCCAGTTTTATGATATGGGCAAATGCATTGAGATTGCGAACTTTAAACCGGTTATTTCTTGCAGAAAAATAAGGATTCACCTTTGCACTAGTTTAGAGCCAGGCCGGCATGTACAGCTGATTTTCCAGACGCGACACGTGTAGTTTATTTGGATAGTTTTAATTCGAAGTCCTTGAAATTTCTAATGGACTATTCCATTTCAAGCAGACAAGACCATTATATAAATTTAGGAGAGTCAGGTTTAAGATATGTTAAAGTTCACACATTACAAAATTTACAAAATGTTCATTATAAAATAAAAACTGGTGTGAGTCAAGTGATATTAAAATAGGTTGATGGGACGAACATCTTTGTTAATGTAGAATTTAGAAAATAAATCAATTTCCAATATGTTTTTTTTGCCTTGTATATTAGCATACCTGTTTCTTATGTTGCTATTCTCCGTTTGAAAACTGTAAGCCTGTCGCCAGGCTTTGATCAGCTGATTGTGGTTTGACATTTACCAGGGAGAAAATAATCAAACAACCTTCGAGAAAATATATCTCACTAGGTCAGCACAATGTTAAAGGTACACTGTTCCATTATTTAGATAAATAACCTTCTTTTTTTACATTTCTGAATGCAAGTTCCATAAATAGATTATTCTCCAGGCACGTGCTAAGATGCCGGGTAGTCGTTCAAGCAGCTAAATTTGGGTAATAGTAGAATAGGCTTCCCCTGCTTTGTTTTGGGAATATGGAAATATTCATTGTTAGTGAAAGGGATTTTTTTTTTCAAAATTGCTTAGATTATGTAAAGTGGAAAGGAGAAAAGTTCAGACTGATTGTACCAATAAGTATGTGCAAGACATTTCAGACTCCATAGAGTTAGTTGTTCAATTTCAGGAGCGTCCGTGGCCGAGTGGTTAAGGTCGTTGACTTCAAACCACTTGCCCCTCACCGCTGTGGGTTCGAATCCCGACAGGGACTTTGTATTCTTTCATGTGAGGAAGCTATCCAGCTAGCTGACAGAACGTCGGTGGTTCTACTCAGGTGCCCATTCGTGCCTGAAATAATGCACGGAAGGGCACCTGAGGTCTTCCTCCACCAGTAAAGCTTGAACGTTGCGATATGACCTATACTGTGTCAATGTGACGTAAAGCCCAAACAAACAAACAAACTTGTTTAATTTCAGTATATTGATATTGAATTTCTTTAAGCTAGCAATGGAAGGTTCCAAATTCAACAATGAACTAGTTCATCGTGCAAATGCAACTGGGTAACAAATATAAAAATCATGGTGAAGTTGATGAGTCTACAAGTACAAGTTTATTACTGGCTATTTAGTTTTGGTACCCTTAACCTGCCGGAACCAAAAGTGATATCAGTATAAAGCCAGGCTAGCCTGCCTGCATATCCGTGCAGTCTGACCAGGTTTTAGTGAGGCCAGCCTGCCTGCATATCCATGCATCTGAATGCATCATATCCATGCATTCAGGCTCTAGCTAGGCCAGCCTACCTGTGCATCTGTGCAGTCTAAGCAGGCCCTTATCTGTTTACTACTCGAGTTTAATATCTTATTATTATTATGAAAATCCGTTGAAAAGTAAATTTAAAACAGTTTCAGCAGATTTAGGGTTAAGTCCCTAAAAGGAATCCTAATTGAAGAAAGCAGGCTAAGTGGTTCACTTGCCTTAGAATCAGTGGAACTTAATATTTAACAGGTCACAAGTTAAGTTATTACAATTTTCGAGTGATTGAAAATAATAAATCATTGACCTTGAAACAGATGATTTAAACTTGCAAAAGTATAATTTGTGCAGATTAAAATTAATGATACCATATGAATTTGAACCTTTACTTTTGCTCATTAATATGAAAATACAGGTAACTATGAAATATGTACTGTAGAGTGAGAGAAAACTATAAAATCACTCTGTCTCAGATACAGGACATAGAGTTATTACTTATATGTCAATGGATTTTACAATCATGTGGATTCCCAGTCAGCTGTTAGACATTGATTAGATATTAAACTACTTTTGTTCAAACAATTACATAACAAATGTTTTTTTACCTAACCTTGCATGACCAAACTGTTGCTGATGTTTGTAGGGTAACACATGCCAGTGAAATTATAAAAGTTTTTTAAATGAAGAAAAAAAATTTAATTTGTTTTACATCTGATCACAATATGAAGTTATTGTTATAGAAGTATTTTTGAGTTGACATAATAACTAGGTCAATATTGGCACACTTTAGATTATGTATGCCATCTACTGCTGTAATACAGTATGTTGTCATGTCTTTGTTATGTCATTGTTATGTCTTTTTCTGGGTGTTTGCTATATGATCCATATATGGTCCACTCACTTAGCTCAACAGTGAGAGCATCGAATTTGTAATCAGGTTTGATCCTTAGTAGAGGCACAATTTCTCTATGGACATGGTTTTGTACCACTTCTATTGTAAGGGTTTTGTACCATGGTGTGGTATGAGATTTGTGCCATATTGTGGTATGATGGTTTTGTGCCATGGTGTGGTTTGAGATTTGTGCCATATTGTGGTATGACTGTTTATGCCATGGTGTGGTATGAGATTTATGCCATATTGTGGTACGACGGTTTTGTGCCATGGTGTGGTATGATGGTTTTGTGCCATGGTGTGGTATGAGGGTTTTGTACCATGGTGTAGTATGAGATTTGTGCCATATTGTGGTATGACAGTTTTGTGCCATGGTGTGGTATGAGGGTTTTGTACCATTGTGTGGTATGAGGGTTTTGTGCCATGGTGTGGTATGAGATTTGTGCCATATTATGGTATGACAGTCTTGTGCCATGGTTTTGTATAAGGGTTTTGTACAATTGTGTGGTATGAGGGTTTTGTGGTACGATGGTTTTGTACTATAGTGTTGTATGTGGGTTTTGTGCCATGGTGTAATATAATGAGGGTTTTGTGCCATGGTATAGTATGAGGGTTTTGTACCATTGTGTGGTATGAGGGTTTTGTACCATTGTGTGGTATGAGGGTTTGTGCCATTGTGTGGTATGAGGGTTTTGTACCATTGTGTGGTGAGGGTTTTGTGCCATGGTGTAATATAATGTGGGTTTTGTGCCATGGTGTAGTATGAGGGTTTTGTACCATTGTGTGGTATGAGGGTTTTGTACCATTGTGTGGTATGAGGGTTTTGTACCATTGTGTGGTATGAGGGTTTGTGCCATAGTGTGGTATGAGGGTTTTGTGCCAATTGTGTGGTATGAAGGTTTTGTACTAGTATGAGGTATGAGGGTTTTGTACCATTGTAGGTATAGGCTGATGCTGGGTTGTAGTATACTAGTTTATTATTGCATAACAACAGAAGAAATAAACTCTAACAAAATATAAGGGTTAAAGTTTAAATCAGTGGTGCAGGGGCAAGAAATTATTGTAGTATAACAAGGCATAGAGTTTTTGTGGTATACATGTGGTAACTACATGTAACTGTTATACATCATATGAGCCGCGTCATGACAAAACCAACATAATGGGTTTGCGACCAGCATGGATCCAGACCAGCCTGCGCATCCGCGCAGTCTGATCAGGATCCATGCTGTTCGCTTACAAACCCTATTACAAGTAGAGAAACTGATAGCGAACAGCATGGATCCTGATCAGACTGCGCGAATGCGCAGGCTGGTCTGGATTCATGCTGGTCGCAAACCCATTATGTTGGTTTTGTCATGGCGCGGCTGATATATTATTTCTATATTTTCAGATGTTGATGGAACATACAGAGCTCTTGTCGTCCAACAACAACTTCAGCAACTACAGAAAAGTCTTTCATCAATGTACGGGATTTAAAATACCAATTTTGTAAGTGCATCTGTCTTTTCATATTTTAATTTAGTAAATTTATTGATTACATACTTATAAATAAAATAAAATGAGAAATATTGATGAAATGAAATGCATATTTTCATTTACTGTATTTTGACTATTAAATTTATTTTTCACTGCAGTGAAACATATTTTAGATATTTTCACTGGTGTCTTGCCGACTACTTTTTTTTCTAAATTTAGCCAGTACACAAATTAAATGAGATGTGTTTCAAATTATAAGGTCAAAGAACAGAAAAAATACATAATGAAATAGAAAATTAAAGTTTTTTTTCTATAAATACATGATTTATATTCATCTTGTGGTATGAAAATTATCATATTTCACGTGTGGCTTTTCCCACTCATGAAATTTTCCTTTTTATACCACTTGATGGAAATAAATCCTGTATTTAAAGAAAAAACATGAAACATTATTTGAGCTGCGTCATGACAAAACCAACATAGTGTGTTTGCGACCAGCATGGATCCAGACCAGTCTGATCAGGATCCATGCTGTTCGCTTACCAACTCTATTACAAGTGGAGAAACTGACAGCAAACAGCATGGATCCTGATCAGACTGCACGGATGCGCAGGCTGGTCTGGATCCATGATGGCCTCAAACCCACTATGTTGGTTTTGTCGTGATGTGGCTCATTTATTGCTTGAAAACATCTTTTTTTATGTCAGGTAAAAGTTAAATTTGTAGATATCTTGTTGTCACAACTAACTGACAGACGAACAGAATCAACAAATGAACAAATAAATGAATAGATGAATAAATTAAGTAAACTAGATACAATGTAATTTAAATAAAAAAGTAAAATTTGAATGGATAATTAATGTGTTTTTTTTTTGTCCTATTCATCTGATATGTTTTAGATTCACTATCTTCCTGTCTTGTTTGTTTCTTAAGTCATATATTTTCACAACTGAAATCTTAAAGTTTTCATGATAACTATTTTACAGAGGTGTTCATCTGAAGGACCTCATTCTTCTTCACACGGCTTTGCCTGATAGAGTGGAGGGGAACCTTGTTAACTTTCGTAAAATGGCTCAACTTTCACTCATTCTTCGCGAGTTAACCAAACTTCAGACTCATGATTCCATTCCAGGAGTGTTCGCCAACATGGATCTCATCAATACTCTCAGGGTAGGTAATTCTTAAATACTGACAGGGTAGGTAATTCATCAATACTCTGAGATTGTAGATAACTCTTCAATACTGTCAGGATAGGAATTTCTTCAGTAGTCTCAAATAGTGTAATTTTTCAAAACTCTCAGGGAAGTTAACTCTTCATTACTCTCAGGTGCTCTTTTAGGGAAGGTAACTCATTCTTAAGATTACAAAACTCTTCAGGACACTCAGCATAGGTTTAATCTCCAAAACTGCTGATGTAGATAACTTCAAAATACACATGGTAGGTATTTCAGTCAGGGTAGATAATCGCAGGGAAGGGAAGTCTCTAGTACTGTCAGGGTAGGTAACTCTTTATTACTGTCAGGGTAGGTAATCACAGGGAAGGGAAGTCTCTAGTACTGTCAGGGTAGGTAACACTACTTCTATCAGGGTAGGCAACTGCAATTCTTAAATACTGACTCTTGGGGTAAACGATTGTTTTCTTCTCTCAACATCTCTTCAATAATTTCAGGGTAGGTAACTCGTCTTTAATTTTTGCAAGGTAGATAACTTTTCAATACTTGTAACCATTTATTAATCTTTAATTCAAGTATATATTTTTGAAACTCTTTTTTTCCAAATACTCATCACAGGGATCTTGTGTAATTATATATTTTACCTCATATTTCTCTATAAATTTATCCTAATCAAATTTAATCAACATTATTCTTCTAAAAGAAAATCAAATCTTTATTCTGTAAGTTTTTCTTCTCTGCATGATTATTTTTATTGAAAATGCTATAAACATTGTTTTCAGTTATCTCTGGACATGCATTATACAGAGGACGAGATATACGAGTTGTCTCTTGCCAGAGAACCAAGAAATTCTCTATCATCAGTAAGCATGTGTTTTCTACTTCTTATCCCTCAGTGTCTATTCTAGGATTCGAAAAACAGGGGGGGTTGGGGGATTTTTATCGGAAAGAGAGAATTTATTACATTTGTTGATCTTTTTCCTTCTTTTACTATGTAAAATTTCCCCTCTGCCTCTGTAAAAATAGGGTGAAATATGGGGGAATTCTCAAAAATATGAGTGAATCCCCTGATCCCCCCTCCTAGAATAGACACTGATCCCTTACCTCCTAATTTTTTAAATTGACTTCAGTCCAACTTTAATTTATTGAACCAGGGCTTTTTTTCACAGGTTGGGGAAGCAGTGTGCCCTTAATTTTAGAGAAAGTTATATGGTATATTTGCAAAAGGTGAAGAAAAAACTTTGCGTAAATTAAAATTTTTGGGGAAAACTGCATGATTTTAAAGAAAAAATTCTTTGGTGAAGCCACCCTAATTACGGCCCCTGCTTTATAAGGGAAAAAAAGCCCTGGGAACTATCCATTATAAATTTTCGTGATAGCTAGAGCTAGATAAAGACTTGTTACTTATTACAAATGGTTCAGCTTCTAAACTTGTTGAATACTAGGATAAATGTAGACTTACCTATGTCACTAGTAAAAGGTCAGCCTACAAAAGTTGTGCAATCTGGCAACATTTTTTCACTGTTTTGTGCTCAAACCATCAAAGCACTAACCCTTACCATGCTAAATATTTAAATGGACTTTGTCTATGGAGAAATTAAAAATATGTACTGATAACAGTCTAATCTTTGTCTGCACTGGTCGCATGGGGTGCATATGTATTCAGTTGTCTGCACTTGTTGCATGAGGTGTATTCAGTTGCCACCTGCAGGCCAAAAGTTAATGTACATGTAGTATTAAAAAACCCTTGCCATGACAATGGACAGTTCCAAATTTAATCAATACAAATACAATGTATAAGCATTCAATTCAAAGTGATATTTTAAAGTCAGCACAGCATTGTCCTATACTCAGTTAATAATAACTGGGCAAATTCAAACTAGTGTTTTTTTGATTAACTCAGTTAATATGTAAATGGCAAGGTAATGCAGTGTAGATTTTAAACCTCTAAGTACAATGTACTGTGGCTATATAGTGGGCAGATCACCCACATATTTTAGACTTTTCCGTACATTTCCGATCACTTTCTCTCTCTATGTTACTATGCAGATAATATGTCTTTTCCTTCTTTTTGCCAAGTATGCATGCCATTCAGCCTATTCTCATCATAATCTGTTTCTCAGATATTAATTTAGCGGAAAATAGTAACTAATTTATCAGACCTTTCCATATAAGGCATTCTGTCGAGCTGGAAGACGTTATATTGAAAAGGTCATATATGTAATTGGATACTGCCTTGATAACTGGAAATATTCTTAACTCAGCAGGTGAAAATGTGGATTCATTGAAAATGAAGCCATTTTCATTTTGATGTAAAGCAAGGTATAAATTTCAGACATGCTTAGATATTAATTTTTTTTTTCTACCCTGTTGTCAGCTTATTAAGAGATTGGAAAGGGGATTTTTTGTGCAAAACTATAGAGTGATATTATGTTCCTTTCTTTTGTATTTATACTGTGTTGCAATTTAAAAAAAATCAGCAATTTTGTTTGTTTTGAAATTGTTATTTTAAAGAGGGATTTGTTCTGCAAGATTTTGATGTAGTTTCTAGCACTGTAAGAAGATACTCCCTTGAATATTGAAATGTTAGAAACATAATAGCAAGAAGAATTACAAATATATAGAAATAATGAAAATATGAATATGTCCTTAAATGAGCTTAATGGGTTGAGTTACCTTTAAACTTTAAATGGTTTAATGCTGTAAGTCAAGAACCTTTAATAATCACTAGTGTAGCTGTCAGGAACCTTCAGTATGACTAAAAAGGCTTCATAATTATATATTTATAACTAGAAGGGCTTCCTAATTATATACCTATGAATGAAAGCTTCATAATTATATACTTATGTCTAAAAAGGCTTTTCATTATATACCCATGACTAAAAAGGCTTTATGATTTATATACCTATAACTAAAAAGGCTTCATAATCATATACCTATGAATGAAAGCTTCATGATTATATAATTGTGTCTAAAATGGCTATATAATTATATATTCATGACTAAAAAGGCTCCATAATTATATACCCATGACTTAAAAGGCTTCATAATTATAAACTTATGACTAAAAAGGCTTTATGATTGTAAACCTGTTACTAAAAAGGCTTCATGCTTCATAATTATATACTTATAATTCAGGAAGGTTTTAAAATTATATACTTGTGAATAAAAAGGATTCAAAATTCTATACTTATTATTAAAACTGCTTCATGATTTTATACCATCATAAAAAGGAGTTATTAAGTGTTTCGAAACAGTTCTTATATAATGTACATAATTGAGCCGCGTCATGACAAAACCAACATAATGGGTTTGCGACCAGCATGGATCCAGACCAGTCTGCACATCCGCGCAGTCTGATCAGGATCCATGCTGTTTGCTTACAGACCCTATAACAAGTAGAGTAACTGATAGCGAATAGCATGGATCCTGATCAGACTGCTTGGATGCGAGGCTGCTCTGGATCCATGCTGGTTGCAAACTCATTATGTTGGTTTTGTCATGATGCGGCTTAATTATATTATGTATAATTTCAGCCATCAACACCAACAAAACCGGTTGTATTTGCTGAATGGGTGGCAGGTATGAGACCGCCGGACCCACAGACCATTAATAAACATGTACATGATATGGTGGAGGTAGGAATTTATTTAATTATTCTTTTGTGACTGATGATGTATATGCTTACTTTGCCCCTTCTGATTAGTTTTTCAAAACACAATTTGGAAGAAATTAAATTTAAATGTTTGAAAAGCATTAATAATACATGTGCAATGTTTCACTGTTTCTATTATACAGTGAAATTCTGGAATTAGGTTTTGATATTATTTTTTACCCATTCTAGGAAATGGATGCTGAAATTGTTAGAGATATAAAAATGATCAGTAATTATATTTTGTAGTTATTTTATGTACTAGGTAAAAAATGTGTGATTAAATTATAAGTTATTTATTATAAAAGATAGCTAATTCAACCCATTGGTTTCTGATGTATGTATGAGATGAAAGTAACTTATTTTAGAACAGCAGTTACACAATCAAACTATTTTTGAGTAGCAAGTATTATGTATATTATTTTCATATTGAATAAAAAATCATAATTTCGAATATTTTATGTGACCTTTCATGTAATAAATTTTCTTCTTTACTTAATATTTCAGGCTGTGTTCAAAAATTACGACAATGACCGAGATGGTTTTATATCACATGCTGAATTTGAGGCCATTGCCGGCAACTTTCCATTCATTGATTCATTCTGTGTTCTTGATGCTGACCAGTAAGTTAATCTTTATATTTATTTATGTATTTGTCGGGTTATTGTCACACTAGCAATTTTAAGATCAAATGGTAATTTTCCAAGAAGTGTTTAGGTGACCCTCTGTGCATTATTTCAGGCACAAGCTAATACTATATATTTTTGGAAAGTTTTGCAACAATAAAATATTATGAAATATATGTCTTGTGTGGTAATATATAGATTTAGCTCCGTTTGATTTTACATGAAAAGTATGTCTGCTGTTTAACTACAGTCTGCCGGTTAACTGAAGTCTGCTGGTTAACTGAAGCCTGCTGGTTAACTGACAGGAGTAAACAGCAGATTCCTAATCTAGAGGTTCAAGGCCCACCAGAACCTTAATTCTTTTCCTGAATTCAACATTCCAAAACTTGGATGTTCTGGGTTACACAGGGGAATAAGTCATAATGGGCGACTTGAAGTTTGATAGCCTGGGGCATAAAACATTGTCTAGAGATTACTGGGGAAAAAAACACAAGCAAACACAGTTTCATATCATTAAATTTTTTTTTTAAATTCTAACCATATATCAATATAACTGATGACATAATTTGCTATTTAGTAACAAGTTAATGTTTTGAAATATTTACAGAGATGGTATGATCAGTAAAGCAGAAATGAAGACATATTTTATCCGTGCCAATTGTCATGCTCTTCGGAACAGTTTCAAACATGACTTCCATGAAATCACCTACTTCAAACCTACATTTTGTATACACTGTACTGGCTTGGTAAGTCTTTCTCTTATATAGTTGTAAATATCATTATTATCATTGTTTAAAGACTCATTAAACCCAAAAATGCTTATATTTTCATTTATCAAAAACAGTTCAGTTATGTTTTAGTTCAATCAAACAAGAGGAGGTATGCTGGCCTAAAAACGCCGAAATGACTCCTTTAAAATTGGTTTGAAAAGCAGTGAGTTGGCAAGCTTTATGTTGCTCCTAGATGTATTTGTATCATTGGTAAAATGTAATGTTTTAAAATTATAACTTCTTCAATTCTTGATTCTTAATAAGGTACAACTTTATTTTCTTTTAACAAGTAAATCAAGAGAAGGAGAGAAAACACATCAAACATCAGGATGGTTTGTAACTGATTTATTCTAGGATCTGTTTGATGACCAGTTTCCAAATTTTCATCTTGATTTTCCTTAAAGTCATAATGAATTATTCCAAAATGAACGTAAGACTGTTTTTTATGCAAATTTAGGGGGAGAAAGTCTTAATAAAACGATAATAACTATTTTATGTAATTTCAGCTTTGGGGTTTGATAAAGCAAGGCTGGAAATGTAAAGGTATGTAAACAAAAATATTTATTCTTCAAATGCTATTAATATGTGGTAATGTCATGCATATATCTTCAGTTCTGAACCAGATCAGCTTGTTGATATCTACATGCAGTCAGACCAATGTCTGTAATTTTGACTGCTCAATTTTGATTTATTTTAGCTTAATTATTTCAAGAATAGAGAGAATTATTGTACTTGCCAAGGCATCAGTGTCAACATTACACTTAATGCAAGTTTCGAAACTACTTAAGGGAATTGGTTGAAACTTCAGACACTTATTTGAGAGCAGAATTGGGGGTCACCATCAAAGACCCATGACTCTTACATGGATTTTGAGAAAATTTTGGCCTGTATTATCCAAGTTCTTGTTTTACTATCAAGCACTGAGAATAGTCAAGAGCCCTGTCCTACTGACAGCTTTTGTGTTGTTTTTTTATACCACCAGTATTGAACTAGTGCATTGAGGTCAATTTATGCCCTCCCATTTAACTCAATTAGGAAAGCATCAGATATGTAAAGAAGAGGCCGCTATTTTGATCCTCTGATGATGCAATATTTTTTTGTGAAAATTGATCATGGACATAAAATCTGATGGTCATTAATCTTCCACCACTGATTTAGAAATTACATGAGATAAGTAGTTCACTTGCTGAGAAATTTGTCATTACTTGTTTGCTGTCCAGGAAAGCAAATTGGACAGACTGCTGAGATATTACCAAAACTTTGTTAAATTTGGGTACTAAAACCAGTTTTTATTGAAAACAAATGCTAATATGCAGATCTATGCCCTATTTATAAATTTGCATTCTACTGTGTAACTGAATTATGTTAATGGTAAAAATTTATCGACTAAGAGAAATGCGTATCGTATCGTAAGAGATAATGAGTTTGTAGAGAAGTAATTCCTAAAGTGTTTGTTTGGAAAAAAAAGTCAAGAAATTATAGCGTCTTACAAGTTATAATTTCTTCAATGTGTTTGAACTGTCTGGATGGGGCATGTAATGGTATTATATATTGTTATGAGTGGGTGTTATGGCATTTTCTTTGAAACATGCCCATTTTTCAAGTCAGACGTTTTTTTTTACCCAGTATTTCATCTAAGTGTTAGTTCACTAGGTCATAATGGGTAATTTATAAAACTATTGGAAGTAGTAGGCCTAACTGATATACAGTGTCTGTCTCTAAAACACAGTGATGATGGTTTATCAAATTCTGTCCAGGTCACCAACATATTTCTTGATTTATAATAGTAAAATTTGTATAAATGTATTTAACATAAACAGATAATATCAGTGATTTTTTTTATTTCTGATTAACTGTACCTCAGACAGGCCATCTGGGGTTGTATGTTATGTTTTTTTTCCAGCTGTTATGAAAAATGAAAAATATGGCATGTCTGACTGGTTTGTTGACATCACTCTATTTATTTGTCACCTTTTGTAAAAAAAACATTTTTTTTGGTATTTTCACAGATTGTGGTATAAATGCTCACAAACATTGTAAAGACTTGGTTGTGATGGAGTGTCGGAGTAAAGCCAATGTGGCATGTAATCGCAGACTTGATTCCCTCTCATCAAATGGTATGTTATCAACCCTTAATTTCCCGACTTTGTTAAATGGACTTGTCCAGTTTCCATTTTTGGAACCCTCCATTATCAACTTTGGGGATATCAAGATGATTCACTGTTAATTTCAGCAGGGTAAAGGTTAAATCATTATAATTGTTATTACAATGGTTAGTGGAGTTGGTAGTTTCACGGCAGTAGGCCATATAGAATTTACCAGAGCACAGTAGAGCCACTGCAACGTTCCTGGATGTGCTGTCAAGCAATTTACCAGTACTGGTTGCCTTTACTTTCGCAAAGAACTGATAATTTCTGTACATGGTAGAGCAGAAGTACAGTTCGAATGACCGTAGAAAGGATTTCATGATAAACCACAACGAAAGTGACCTGCATCTTCCGGGAAACGAACCTGGGTCACCCGATTAACAGACCAACACTCTACCGATTCAGCTTACAGGAAGTAACAATGGTTATACAGATTGCAAGTGTGATATAAGGGCAGTTGGGGATTGTAGTCCATTGTGAAGTTTTTCATTGCTCAATGTAAACTTGTGTAAAGTTAAATGTAAACTTATACAAAGCTTTTAATACAAAGTTATGTAATGCCAAACAAAATCTTGTACAATAACCAATATACACATATACCAATATACACATATACCATGCCAATGATTTTACCATGTAAGTACTCTACAACAGGGTCAGGGAGTGAAGAGTTATCCTATTCCACTAAAGGTAAAATGTCTCTACGTCATTTTAGCATTGTCACCATTTATGATTATTCAATTTATATTTATGATATTACAGTATAAGTATTCTACTGCAGGGTCGGGGAGTCAAGATTTGTCCTATTCCACTAAACGTAAAATGTCTCAGCGTCAGAAGCGGACTCGAGTACATCGAGGTACGCAGACAGAAGAGTGCTATTTTGTTGATCCACTTCCAGATATAGGTGAAGAAGGAGATTACCGAGAACTTCATGAAAGACTTTTAAAAGCAGAAGAGGTAAATAGATCAATGGTGTCTTCTTTTATTATACCATGCCGACCTAACCTTAAGATATTTTTTCACATAATACAATTTTGAAAGAAGTTTTTTTTTTATATACTTATATGATGACCTCTGCACAAAAATCAGTAGTACAACCTTTGCACAAAAAGTCAGTATTACATTATTTTAAAAGAAATGTAAATGAAGGTGTTAGTGATTTGATTTTGAAATGATGTGTCTTTTGGAAGCTTTAGCCAGAAGTAGAATTTTATGGTTTGATTTTCTTCTAAAAAAAGAATTATGTAATGATATTTGGTTCCAGATCTAAAACTCTACTACTGTGCAAAATATTAATGGGAAAAGTTTAGAAATGATTCATTTGTATCAGTATTTGCATATCAATACATAATTACTTTGTATACTTGATATATCAGTTCAGCTCATCTGATCACAAAGTGCTAAGGGTGAACTGTAAGTCATGTGATCACCTAACATCTGTAACTATCCATCTTTGCAAATGTTAACTTTACCTAATGTCTTTTACCTGTTCATTACACTTACATAAAGTTGTTGATTTCAAACCATTTGCACCTAACTGGTGTGGATTGGAATCCTGACAAGATCTTTGGATTCTTTCATGTGAGGAAACTATCCGGCTAGCTTCAGTGGTTCTTCAATACTGAAATAATGCATGGAAGGGCATTTGAAGTCTTCCTCCACAAGTAATATATATTAAAAGGGTTTAAGACTACCTTGATCTTTATTTTGTAAACAGTACTTGTGAACTTCAGTATATTAGATTGCATTTGGCATGAGTCCTTGTCTAGCAAAATCAACTCAAGTCAAAGATCAAGTTATTCTTAAAATAATCATATTGTTCCACCTTCAGAAACTGAGCGGAAATCAGGTGAGCGATGTTGGTCCATCATAGCCCTCTTGTGTATTTTTGTTTTCTTTTTTGCTGGAATAATTCAGATTTTGCTGGAATAATTCAGATATATTTATTTCTCTTAATGCTTAGTCACAAACGAATCAGGATGAATACAGTAAGTTGTCTCCCTTGTTGTCTTGTGCTATGCCTTGAAAAATATCGTAGAAAAAATTCTTACTCAGAATTGCAGACGTAATTGTAGTCGGTGTATTTTTTATTTTTTAGTGGTTACTTTTTATGCCCCCACAGAGTGGGAGCATATAGCGTTGCACTTGTCCGTCCGAGTGTCCGTACGTCTGTCCGTCCGTCCGTCCGTCCGTCTGTCCGTACGTCCCGAAATCTTGTGAACGCAACTCCTCTTAAACCGGATGGCAGATTTTGCTTAAACTTACAGGGATGAACAACCTTAATGTGTAGATGGTAGTAAAGGAAGGAATTTTAGCTGCGACCAAATTTAACAGAATTATGGCCCTTTGTTGATTTTTTCACTATATACTATGTAGAAATTTTGTGAACGCAACTCCTCTTAAACCGGATGGCAGATTTTGCTTAAACTTCCAGGGATGAACAACCTTTATGTGTAGATGGTACTAAAGGGAGGAATTTTTGCTGCGACCAAATTTAACAGAATTATGGCCCTTTGTTGATTTTTTCACTATATACTATGTAGAAATTTTGTGAACGCAACTCCTCTTAAACCGGATGGCAGATTTTGCTTAAACTTCCAGGGATGAACAACCTTAATGTGTAGATGGTAGTAAAGGGAGGAATTTTTGCTGCGACCAAATTTAACAGAATTATGGCCCTTTGTTGATTTTTTCACTATATACTATGTAGAAATTTTGTGAACGCAACTCCTCTTAAACCGGATGGCAGATTTTGCTTAAACTTCCAGGGATGAACAACCTTAATGTGTAGATGGTAGTAAAGGGAGGAATTTTTGCTGCGACCAAATTTAACAGAATTATGGCCCTTTGTTGATTTTTTCACTATATACTATGTAGAAATTTTGTGAACGCAACTCCTCTTAAACCGGATGGCAGATTTTGCTTAAACTTCCAGGGATGAACAACCTTAATGTGTAGATGGTAGTAAAGGAAGGAATTTTTGCTGCGACCAAATTTAACAGAATAATGGCCCTTTGTTGATTTTTTCACTATATACTATGCAGAAATTTTGTGAACGCAACTCCTCTTAAACCGGATGGCAGATTTTGCTTAAACTTCCAGGGATGAACAACCTTCATGTGTAGATGGTAGTAAAGGAAGGAATTTTTGCTGCGACCAAATTTAACAGAATTATGGCCCTTTGTTGATTTTTAGTTTTCAACTTGTGGCACATGTAGTCCAAAAAAATATTTGACCTAGAGTCATAAGATTGACAGAACAGTGGCGTGTGGGGGCATCCGTGTCCTATGGACACATTTCTAGTTTTTTCTTGTTTAGTTTGTATTCTGAAAATCTGTTCACTAAATTTGTGTATATTGTTATTATGTTTGAGATTGAAGACTTAGGATGATCAGTGTATAGGTCAATATTTTATAAGCTTTTAGGCCTGTTAATTTGTCTGGCGGAACTATAAGTTATGAATCATTAATGTTAATGTGATTTCACCATCAGCAGCCTGTATTATACACAGGTTTCTCACGTCTTATATCCACTTCATACCTTCTTATATCTATATTAAACATGTTTATTATATATATAGGGGTAGGGTAGGGGGGGCGGTGTGAGTGGAGATAGGAGGTTGTTGGGTTTAGACGTTGGGCACTTGTGATATTTCACTAGTTAACTTGGTCACTCTTGTATATAATTATCATTATTATGAAAGAAGCTGCGAGTTTACAAAAAAATATTTCTTTTGGACATATATAATTTGAATTTATAAAATGGAGAAAAAAGTGAAATATGGTAAAATATCAGAAACTAATCACAGGCATTTTATTATATTAATGTCATCCACATTTTGTTGAGAGGTGATAAAAAATGACAGAAAAATATTTTTGCTCTTAAATCATGATTTTGATATTGATAAATTTCACACAATTTGATATTTTAAAATACAATGGTCATTAAATCATTCTGCACAACAAATTATTTAAAACCAAATTGCTTATGAGCCTTTTTGCACTTCCTTGGAAAAAAAACAACAGGATAAATATAGTTTGGCATAAAACATATATCTTGTGAATTTTGAAAATAAGATTTTCATTTAATTTAACTGAAGGTACCTAAAAACTGCTTCTCTGCCAGGCTGAAATAAACAAAAAAAATCTATGCTGTAGAGTTATTGCCCCTGATACAGATATTGATCAAAGTGACCATTTTGGATCTATTTCAACCATAATGCTGCTCACCAATATAATTAATATTCATGGATATTTGATGTATGATCTTGCATTGATTTAGAGAAATACAACCAGTGTGTTGGTTGTATTTGCAATAATTATGTCAACAGTTACTTTCCTTGACTCAACAGTTATTCCATGATGTTAGTATATCATAGTTGGGACTATATATTGATTACTTGTCCATATTTTAAAAACATTAATGCTGATCTGTTAACAAGCATTCTACTACTGCATGCATTCAAAATGTTTTGCACCTAATGGTTTACAACATTCCTATTCCTATAAAATGCCACTATATGATATGTGGCCAAACATTTTTGAAATTACACACTACATGTATTTACTTGCCCATAAGTTGGCTCACTTATAAGACAGCGGTAACAATTTCATGCTGGTATCGGCTCACTTATAAGACAGGGGTAACATTTTCATGCTGGTATCAGCTCATTTATTAGACAGCGGTAACAATTTCATGCTGGTATCAGCTCATTTATTAGACAGGGGTAACAATTTCATGCTGGTATCAGCTCATTTATTAGACAGCGGTAACAATTTCATGCTGGTATCAGCTCATTTATTAGACAGGGGTAACAATTCCATGCTGGTATTGGCTCACTTATAAAATAGGGATAACAATTTGATACTGGTATCAGCTCATTTATAAGACGGGGGTAACAATTTCATGCTGGTATCGGCTCAGTTTTAAGACAGGGGTAACAATTTTATGCTGGTATCGGCTCAGTTATAAGACAGGGGTAACAATTTCATGCTCGTATCAGCTCACTTATAAGACAGGGGTAACAATTTCATGCTGGTATCAGCTCACTTATAAGACAGGGGTAACAATTTCATGCTGGTACCAGCTCACTTATAAGACGGGTAACAATTTCATGCTGGTATCAGCTCACTTATAAGACAGGGGTAACAATTTCATGCTGGTATCAGCTCACTTATAAGACAGGGGTAACAATTTCATGCTGGTATCGGCTCAGTTATAAGACGGGGGTAACGATTTCATGCTGGTACCAGCTCACTTATAAGACAGGGGTAACAATTTCATGCTCGTATCTGCTCACTTATAAGACAGGGGTAACAATTTCATGCTTATATTGTCAATAATGCACTTGTTTTTGGAATTAGGCAGATTTTCATTAGTCACTAAAATCTAGAAATGTTCGGTAGATCAGAAAGTAGGAGAAGGTATGTGGTTGGGCTAGTCTAGTTAAATGTACAAGCATTATTATAACCAAAGAAGTGATATTAGATACATTTTGAAGTTCTATTTTAAGTTTTAATATCAATCATTTCATGCTGTGTTCATTAATATTTTTGTTGTTTTTTTTTTTGTTTCAATGTTAGAAAATCATAAATATATGTGCAATGTATGCCAACTAAGTACAGAGAATTGATATATGTAAATAAATTGAAATATTTTAACTTAAGAAAACACTAAAAGATATACATGTAGTGTTATGTTGTAAGTGGGACAATGGATACTGTTTATTATTTATCCTTATGTTTGTAGCAAAAGTTAACAACACTTACTTATGGAGTATTATTTTGCGAAACTTTAAGAAACAGTGAGAATTTTTTTACTTAAAACTTGAGGCACGCTTTCCTATCTTTAAGTATTGGGTACTCCTATTCACCTCAGAAATACATGTAAGATTTTTATGTAAATTTCTTTTCTGGATCAGAGTTGCACAAGTGGTAACGGTCTCAAACTATCTGTCCAAAATACACTCTTTCTTGGGACATGGCTCTTGAATCTGTGAATTCATATAAAAAGAAGCATAGAGAGAAAAAACAGTTTTGATAACATCATTATTATTATTGGTAACATAAATACAGCCAAACCTGTGTAGAAAAGCCAGCCTAATAATTATTATAGGTCTTTATTGAAAGGTTAATATGGTTTTTCACCCTTATAGAATATGGGAATATATTTAAAATGACTGTTGTGACAGGTTTTTCTGTATGTGGTCTTTATTTGGAGGTGGTATTTAACACTGGTTTGACTGTATTATGTATGACTGACCCCTAAACGACCTTGCCCATTTAAGTCATGACTATTGAAATGTTACCATACATTTGTAATTATTTGATTAATTTGTTGTTACTTCTATATTTACTTAATAATATAGTCAGTGAATAAAACAAAAATATATGATCAACTGTTTAGCATTAAGATGCATCAAAAACATACTAAAAGTTAGAATACTAACTCAATAATGTGTTTGTGCGCTTTTTTATCAATTGATTAAAATTTAGAAGAATGTTTGAATGAAATTTTATTTTGCAAAAGTTTGAATTCAACTAATTAAAAGAATGAACATGTGTTATGATCTGTTAACAAATGTTGGCCAAAAAAATTTACCATTTTGCATTATTATCGCCTCAAAATTACATGCATTTTTGTACTTTTTGTTTTAAATACTTCATGTTTTTCTTTTCTCTACGTTTTGTTTTAAATACTTCATGTTTTTCTTTTCTCTATGTGTCTTACTTATGTTAGGTAAATATTATTTATTCAAAAGCAATATGATCGAGATCATTTTATCTTATATGAAATAACCCTTAACCTGCTGGAACCAAAATTGATAAGTCATTGCCGCCAGTGTAGAGCAAAGCCGGCTTGATATTGAAATCCCTTACAGTCTGAATGGAGCGTTCCGCTTACAGTCTGTAAAGTTTGAATGGACCGTTCCATATCTCCCTTACAGGATGAATGGACTGTTTCATATCATATGTCCCTTACAGGATGAATGGACTGTTCCATATCTCCCTTACAGGATGAATGGACTGTTTCATATCATATGCCCCTTACAGGATGAATGGACTGTTCCATATCTCCCTTACAGGATGAATGGACTGTTTCATATCATATGCCCCTTACAGGATGAATGGACTGTTTCATATCATATGTCCCTTACAGGATGAATGGACTGTTCCATATCTCCCTTACAGTCTAAATAGACTGTTTCATATCTCCCCTGCAGTCTGAGTAGACTGTTCCTCTTACAGTCTGAATGGACTGTTCCTCATACAGAATTGATTGTTCCGTATCTCCCTTACAGTCTGACTGGAATATTCCATATCTCCCTTACAGTCCATGTTTAAAATCTTAGCAAGTAAGTTTTACAAGATTAGCAAGTAAGTTTTACAAGATTAGCAGGTTAAGGGGTAACCAGTAAGAAAATTAACATTTAGGAATGAATATCTTGGGAACAAGTCTTACAACCACTGTATATAGGTTACACTGGTCTGCAATGTCATTTTGAAATGCATATATGTGAGGCCAGCCTGAATGTCCTTGCAATCTACCAATATATTATTGTTTTGCTGACTGCTCAGTTTTTTTTACATTAAAGACAATTATAATTCAGTCTGACTAAAGATCTTATGTTTAAATGTTGCATTACTAAGGAGCTGAATTTAATCACATTTTTATAGCTATTGCAATAATTATGAAAAATGGAATATATTAGAGCAAAATTCATTCATATAGTCAGGATTAGGAAAGTATTTTTGTTCGTAGATATGTAGGTAAACTTACTGAACCTTTTTAAGCTTCTAGATTCAAATACACAGGGGAACAAATAAGCCTTTTTTTATTTCCTGATACAAAATACACAGGGAAACAGAGTTAATCTTTGTCAATGTCACATGCACTAAAAAGGTTTTATTTTATTTTATTTCAGGCGCGTGACCAACTTAAGATAGAGAATGAGAGATTAAAACTTATGCTGAAATCTAATATGGATCAAACAACAATATTGAAGTCTCAGATGGGTTCCATTCGCAAGAATACAGTCACTTTTATTCTAGAACAAATGGAAGCATTGCACATACAAGGAGACTCAAAAGTCTAGACTGGTTGCTGTTGATTCCAAGCTCAAAATTTATGGACTGGCTCTGTATTTTTTTCTGCTATAGATTGAGATTCTTAGGACATGTCTATGAACTCATAAACTATGAATAGATCAGACTGGCACCTGGTGATTGGTTTTGAGCAAGTAGGACACTGTGGACTGGTACTTGTTCATGTTTAAGCTCAAAGTATCTTGACTGGTTTTGGAAATTTTTATTTTTGTGAGCAGACTAAAAATGGATTATAATGTTCAGTGCTGTGCTATATTTAACTACACATAGGACGGATGTCTTTTACAGCAAATTGTTAACTGGAATTGAACCAAAAAAAAACATATTACCACCATTACCTATATACATCGTAAGCACTTTTGTTTTGGATTTTATACGTGAACATAAAAACCAACCCAGTCCTCAGCAACAGGATATCATTTTGTTCAAACCTAACCTAGAGATCCAAGTTGATGACTGAGATTTAGTCAGATGTGTGAACATATGACATCTCCACCAATGGCTTCATTCATAAACAGAAAGAGGCCAAATGTTGTATTTGTGTTGTCTGATTAAACTAATGTGTGAGATAAAGAGTAAAAAAACTCCTGCTGGTAGAAGTTTTAAGGAATGGTTGTAAGGACATGCTCCTTAGTTGTGTGCATGACAATGATAAAGTGATCAAAGCGATTCAGTGAATCGCTTTACCGCAACTTTAAACCATAATTTGAGAAAAACCTTGAAAGTTCACATTGAAATTCAAAACAGGAGAAGACAACTCATTTTGAAGATCTCTTAGTGAATTTAGTGTTTTGGGACCTTGCAGAATGTAGTGTTCTGTGACCTTGCAGAATTTCAATTCTTACACTGAAGCAAAACTAGCGGGTAACAATTTTAACCAGTTTGTGTTCAGAAAAACATCGTAAGGATGTCACTCATCGCTTATTTTTTTTGCACTCTCTCTGGTACATTTGTGATCAAGTTTTAAATGGAGATATTGCTCTGTCCTGACGTTATACAGGTATTATATGGGTTCTAGTGATAATCTCAAGTTTAGGTAGATGAAGTTATTTCAGAAAAAGGAACAAGACCTTTCACTAGTATCCCATATAAAGTACAGGTTTATGGTGTGTATATGTGTATAAATTGAACATGATAACAAAAGTTTCTGATCATCAATATTTAAAAGAACCAATACATTTCGAGGAAATCCATAATATATCCAAGAGGGACAATATAACAATTTGAATGGTTTTTCGGTTTACGAGGCAAAACCAAACTGCATCTCTAAACTTCAGTCATGCATCGTTTTGAGCTTTTTTACATTAATCATGTTTGAGGTATACACATATGTCGAACACGCTGGTTCTGTGTTACACATAGTATGAATTTAAAAATAGAAACATTTTGTGTATGATTATACAATGCCTCGCTTGGAATATACTCTGTTATATTTCATACACTGTTTTACATGAACAATCTTTTTTATTTACTAAATATTACAGCAGTGGTCAACTTTTCCAAGATATTACACATTGTTGCCATATTTTTTGTTTGAAGGAGGTTTTCGGGGTATTTTGTTATTATTTTTATTTTTGCAAGAAGTGTTACTATTAAATTGACATGGTGCTTTGTAAATTTATATATCATAATGAATTGGATTGTGTTTGACATTCAACCCTTTAAAGATAACAGCGTTAATGATAAAAGTCGTGAGAAAAGAGCAATGCCAATCTATTTTTAGCTATTTAGTATTAGATCCCAGACATTTACAATGATAAAGGAATGTAATGCCAATGTACAAATTTTAATCAAGGTAAAGCTTAATTGATAAATTCAGCTTTTAATTAAAAATATTCAAATTAATTTGGGTTTATTTAAGAGTTTTGTTATTATAGAAAGTTGTTACTGATGTTCATTTTGAAACTAATTTAGAAAAAAAAACTTCAGAAAAAATAGAAGTGCTTTCAAAAATTTATATTTCATATAAATAATAAAGAGAATTATAGGGGTTTTTGTTGTAGGCTACTTAAAAACTAAGTACATTGTATGCACTTAAATGAATTAAACATTTAGTTAAAAAACAGATATAAAATATAATAAAGGCAGCAAACTTTTTATGATTATTTTATACAAGCAAATTATTTTCGATTCAAAATTTTGGCAAAAAAAGTGAAATGCAGTACTAATATTGATTCACAAGGGGAAATTATGATTGCTTTGTTGAAATTTAATTTTTTATCAAAGGACAAATATCAGTTTTATTTAAAAAAAAACTTTTTTTATATACTTAATTTGCAAAACAAAAAGTATTGCTACAAGTAAAAAAACAACAATTAAAAATGCAAAATTTTTCAAATGTGTGAATACATGTATTTTGTTTCAAGAATAGAATAAAGTTTCTCTTAGGGAAGAAAAACAATATTATAGATAAAACCATATTTTTAGCTCGACTATTCGATAAGAATAAGTAGAGCTATTGCAGTCACCCGAGCGTCGGCGTCAGTGTCGGTGTCTGCGTAACCACATATGTTAAAGTTTTTGTAATAGTTCAAATATTTTTAAAGTCCATTGACATATGGCTTTGAAACTTTGCACACTTGTTCACCATCATGACCCCAACCTGTAGACAGGAGGAGGTAACTCTATCAAGCATTTTGACAGAATTATGCCCCTTTTTCGACTTAGAATTTATGTTAAAGTTTTTGTAATACCTCAAATATTTTCAAAGTTCATTGACATATGGCTTTGAAACTTTGCACACTTGTTCACCATCATTACCCCAACCTGTAAACAGGAGGAGGTAACTGTATCAAGCATTTTTTTTTACTATCAAGCACTAAGAATAGTCGAGCGTTGCTGTCCTACCGACAGCTCTTGTTTTGTAAAAAGTCACTCATTTTGTGAAATTAAACCAAATTGATTTTGTTGAAAACACCAATATTTATTGTGAAAGTTTACCATTTTTTTTTCACAAAAGAAACCAATGCTTTATAATGAATGCACATGTTATAAAAATTTTCTGTATTTTACTTTATAATAATTAAGTATTGGAAAATACAAAATGTTCATTAATTTTTCCCAAAATGAATGAAATTAAAAATGATACTTTAGTGCTGACAATGCTTTATAAAAATTAACAAAACCACTGTTTATGCCTGAATGATAAAAAAACTGCTGTTAAAATAGAAACCATTGTCATATATATATACAAAATTTTAGTAACCTGGTCACTATGGTGATCAAATGATTGATTATTTTACAATATATTATATAAATATATATTTTTGCCAGTCAAAATTGAACATTCCATCATTTCATTTTATAAATAAAATCATTTTCTTCTTCTACTCATTTCCATAATAAAAAAACCCATAGCACACTATATGTAAAAATGAGAAAACATACATGTGTATACATTTTGTGTTTGATACATACTTTATTGTGAACAAAAAACAACAACCCCATATGTACTGTTATAAGTGCTAATGATGCTATAATGTCAGAGGGTATTGGTTCAATACTGCGGTATTTTATTTATTTACATATATATAGTTACTGCAGTGTGGCACTAAACCCTTGCAATGAAAAATTGTGCTTATTTAATCATTTATACTTATTCATACACATATTATACTGCATTTTATTAAAACTATTTTTTTTTTCAGGTAAACCAACATTTGCCCCCACTTGAAAATCACCTTTCATATTTGCTCTGCCCTCACTTTCAATAGAAATATTTATATAAAAAAAGAAACCTATTCAAAGTTAGCTTATTTCCTCAAGTAGGTCTGTAGTCAAAATCTTTTAATGTAGCTTTTGAAAGAGATACGTTTTATTAAAATATTATAAAAAATATTCAATTTTGGGGTCTAATGCCCATCTTTATGTTTCAACTGAGGGACAAATGTCAAAGAAAACATTTTCAGATAGGGGCAAATTTCCTAGTCCGGATTTTATTTTTTAAATTATCAATAATTTTTTATAAAAACAGAAATTTAAAACAACATGCCTCCAGTTTCATGTTATTTTTTATGAATATTTTGAAAGTGTTTTCATTAGTCATAGTTGAGATATTATGTCAAATGAACAAATAGGGTAAAATTCATAAGTTGGCTTAAGATACTTCCAGTTTGTATGAATTATTTAACTTTTTAGATATGCAAAAATTGCCCCTACATGTACTTTGATAGTACATTGTATCACAGTTTTAGAGTATGGTAATAAAAATAGTTATTTCAGTCTTTTTATGTAAACAGAATGAAATGCATTTCACGGTTTGTTAATAAATTTGAATTTCTAAAACTTTTGACACAGTTCTCTGAATTTTTAAAAACAATTTTTGCAACTTCATTCTCTCATATTTGAATGTGTGCAGCTTTGACGATTTTTGTTTCTTTTTTGCAAAGAATGAGAAATAACCAGAAAAACATAACACCAAATTTGGCTGGAATTTTAAACAAAATGATAAATATATTATAACCATAAGTGATCACTTATTATAACAAAGCTGAATTTTTTTTATTTTTAATAAAATTGACATATTAACTTATTATTATGAAAGGAAATTTAACACCAATGCATGTGACTACCATCCTAATGCCTTCTTCAAAAAATTGTTTTTTTCTGACTTTAAGTTATGGGTAGCGAAGGATCAGCCTCACAACCTTTGAATGTGTTGTCTGAAATTATTAATAATAACAATTCATCAACCTGTATGCTCTTAACATTAATTCAGCCACTTTTTGTTAAACATTACTATTACTATTGTATTACAGCAAGCCTAGTCAGAGAAATATAAAATATATATATTGATATATCAATATATTTGATAAGATTCCATATTTATTTTATAATTTTTGTTGCTCATCTAATGTCATAGTTTGTAAATATTAAAAAATAGTTATATATTAACATTTAATAACCCTTAATCTGCTGGAACTGAAAAAATGTTATTAGCTTCTGTTACCTGAATAATAGAGCCCGGCAAGTCTGCACCTCCGTGTAGTCTGACCCACCTCTACACAGTGAACACCCTGACACCGCTGGTAACTCAGTTTTTATATTTTGATATTGAAATGTCTGAATTTTCAAATGGACTGTTCCAAATTCAAAGCTTGGCAAAATCCATGACAAAAATTCAGGAGGTTAAGGGTTATTATTGTTTCATCAGCTCGTTAGACCATTTTTCTTTTCTGTTATTTTTTACATTTTTCTTACTTATCATTTTTTTTTTTCATGTTCAGTTTATAAATGTGTCGAGAGTGGTTGATTTCTGTGTATTTAGTACATAACAGGGGTGCAGCCCGAGATGGTTGCAGCTGATCCTTGACTTTTATGGACTTACGAATAAGTCTCTAGTTGAAACCTTGGTGTATTTGTTTCATACATAGTACTACATTCTGTAAAGATGTACAGCCTCAAATTTTTACTGTTATCTAGTTATAGAAATTTTATGTGTAATGTATTTTTCATTGTGCATGAAAATTCCCTTTGTCTGCTGGCTTCAGACCACTATATGTTCTATATATATGTTTTCATTGCCTGATTTAAAGAGTGTAAGAAATGTTATGTTGACAAGTTCAATGTCTTATTTAGATGTTACATAGGGTCACACTTTTAGTATTTCTTAAAAAGACATCATTTTAAAATTTATTATTTTAATTAAGAAAAGAACATTATTTTCCAGGTTTTTGTTAACCAATATTTAATACTGAGCATTTTCAGGAGGTATTATTTTATTCTCTTTTTGATACTGGCTATTTAGCACTTTGTTTAAAAATCACTAATATTATTAATTGATTTATTCAAAGCGGGACAAATCCATTTTACAAATGTGTGTGTGTGGGGGGGGGGGGGGGGGAAAGTTTTCTTCTTTACTTTACAGCTTGAACAAATACATTCTTTAAATAAAGATCTGTATTTAGAATATCTTTAGACCTAGTGCAATTTTACTATTTATCTACTAGACCTGACCCTTTTCTTATGTGCAATATGTTTCCGTAATACGAGAAAATTTGATATCCAAAATTATGACCTTTTTAGATTGTTTTAAATGTTTATTATGTTATTAAATTTCAGATATAACTTTTCTAACAACTTCATAAGCACATGATATTTTTGGCAAACTTTTTGAATATAAACCTAATTTTTTTTTAATCTGAAAAAAAAAAAAAATTTAATATATAAAAGTAAATATTTTTCCATGGTTCGATTTACACCTTGTTGAAGTTCCAAAATTTACTTTTTTGTCTTTTTTGCCAATCTTTATTCTTCTAGCTTTTCTGCTTATTAGTTTTATTTGGTAAAGCTTAGCTCTAAAGTTTTTGTGAAAGTATTTGTTACCTTCCTTTAATAAAACTTGGGCTTTTGTGAAAATATTTATTATCTCCCTTGATAACTCAAGCTTTTGTGAAAAAAATATCTACGTTGCAATGTGGACAATGAATAATAAGTTGGTTACTTAAAATACTTTGCGTACCATTTTACCAAATATTTTACAGCATGAAAATTAAATATGATTAAAATCAAATTATATTTTAAAATGTTAATAGTTAATATATATGTGTACAAAACCAATAGTTTATTATATATATTCAGATATTTTTTTCTTTTTAAATAGATTTTTATACAACATTAAGTATGTAAAAATTTTATCAATACCTCTTTAAGTTTGAATAGTTTTATTTGTTATTATTCTTTTATGCTAGTCAGATTTCATTATCACCTGGAATACCAAGTCAAGCCAACCTGTGCTTTTATACAGTCTGGCCTATGCTGTTGTTTGCTTAATTTTAGCATGAAAACCCCTCACACTAACAATGGACTGTCCCAAATATCAAGTGGGACCAGTCCATTTTAAATATTAATCATGGAAATGTAATTCTCCTCAGTTGTCAGTTATATTATTTATCATATGTGCAAGTGTAAATGTCCACTTGGGACATATTTTAGACTAACCCTAACCCTGGTTAGTCAAAATGGCCTCACATGATATTTTTTGAATTTTCCCTCAGTGCCACTGTATGTAAACCATAAGTTAATAGGCTGAGTACATCACTTTATTCACTTATATTATGCTTGGTCATTTTTTTAATGAGGAAAAAAAGTTGAAATAAGCACATGAATTACTAGAGCTACATGTAAATTATTAGTTATATAGATTTGGACAAGGTTAAATGGCCCTATATAAATAGTTGTTTGAATATATAACCTAAGCTGCTAGACAAGGATTATATTGCAAACAACCGTTAATATAACATACGGCCATATAACCTTTCAAGAAACTTGAGATAATGAATTAATAATACAGCACTTCCATTTATGTGAAAGTACTAAATTGACAGCAGCCATGTATATAGTCAATAATAACGTTAAAATTATCCAATAAAAACCGACAATCATAAAAAAATAGGCAGAGTGATGTATATTTATCCCAGAATTCTATTCATAAACAGTCAGTTATATCAAAATATTATTCTATTTATAGGCAGAATAACGTTTACATCATATAGACATCATATATGAAAAATTAACTTCAAACCATTCTATTTGAAACAGGTTTAAGGAGCATAAAAAATTCTATATACATTGTACATGTAGTGTAAAATCAGAACTTCAGTGCCCCCTTTTATGACAATACATGTATCCTTCTCATTAACAATGGAATGTTCCAAGTTCATAGGGGAATAAGTCCATTTTACAAACAAAGGGTATTAATGATAAAATCCTGAAAAATCGTAGAAAATCATATCCTATTAAATATTTATTTACCTTACCAAGGCTTTGTTTTTTGCGGAAGTTAAATTGTTTTCTCATTCCTGTTGCTGTTTTTACATGTGTATGATTGTGATTTTATTAACATTGTAAATATATATAATTATGTATATATGTATTGATATTAAGATAATTGGTGCAGGCCATCTTTGTATTTCTCTTTGTTACCTATATTTTAAATGTGTATACATTATGTTCTATTTTTAGCCCTTAACCCTTAAAGTGCTGGAAGCCTTTGCCACCAGTATAGTCTAGAGCCAGGCCAGGCTGCACATCCGTGCAGTCTGACCAGGCTCTATACTGTTGGCTGTCAAACTTTAAGTTGATATCAATAAAATTGATAATGGACAATCCCAAAAATGGAAGTGGGACAAGTCCATTTAAAATATTCAGCTTGTTAAGGCTAACCTGCTGAATTTCTAAAATGGACTTGTCCATCTTTTTATTTTGGGAACAGTAAATTAACAATTTTGGGAAGATGAAAGGTTTGAAGTTGGTCCGCCAACAGTTTAGAGCCTGGTCAGACTGCATAGATGTGCAGGCTGGTCTGGCTCTGTACTGGTTGCAAAGGCTAACCACTTTTGGTTCCAGCAGGTGAGGGGTTAAAAACTCATTTTTAAGAATCATTCTGTTACTGTTATGGACATTGACTTTCAATCAAACATGTCTCTCATCAAAATATAAGGGATATAGAATTAACTGGTTGGAAAATCTTGGATATGAAAATCAGACAGGAAAGAAATAATTGATTAGTTTATCCAGTAGATAGATCAATTATTAGTATTCTAATGTGTAAAAGGAGCAGCATTGAAAATAAAGTTCAAGAAAAAGAAATACATGTAGTAGACAGGGAAAGTTTTTCTTTAAATTTTATATCAGAGAAATCTTTAATTTTGAACTGGTCACAGGACAGGAAATTTTCTTTTGAAGGACTTGGGTTAAAACTTTCCAAGAGTTTATGTTGGAATAAATCATTAAGGCTGTATATAAAGAAGACAACACTATTTAATTTTCTTACTTTTAAGATTTTACCTATCATTAAGCTCTATAATTTCTTCAGTTTTAGAGAGATATGTTTGATAGGAAGGTTATTTGTATTGTCATCAAATATGTTCTAATCTTTATCATTTTAGTACTTATCATTTTATGGTATGCAGTTGAGATTTTTATATTTGTAATGTTACTGAAGAAATTTAGGAAATCCAAATTATAATGCATCTAGTAATTCTCTCAAATTGAGGGTGTTAATATATAGTTGGGCATTTTTACACACACAGTTAAATGTTTGGATAATGCTTTAAATGGATTATTGTTATTATGATTAAGTGTATTACAGATAAAGTAATTGATAGTCAATTAATTATTATTATGAACAAAGGTTTTCGAGACAATTCCCTACCTTGACACTTCTAGAAATTTAAACATATGGTAACCTTATATAATATATATACACTGAGCTAAAGAGTATCTCCTGAAAATGTTTTTTTAACCTTGGAAAGATTTTCTCAAAATTTGTTTTTATTCTACAGTACATCATCACCTTTGTGCAATAATGGGTTAACTTCTTACATTATTTAATAGGAGCTAACCCATAACTGCACTAAGCTGATGACATGTAGTTATTTTTGGCGGGAATTATTGTAATGCCGATTGGTGAAAGCATGAGAATAGATTGCCATGAGAAATGGTCTCACAGTATACATGATTTACTTTAAAACTTATTGCATTGTTGAATCATTGTATAACAGATATATTAACTTGTACTATATATCATAATATCATTGGATCATTAAAACTGACACAACCATTATGTTACATGTTATATGAAACCAGAAAAGATGGAGGACAAAATAAAAATATTAACTGTACAACATGTTTCGTTTTTATTTTCCTTGAGAATATATAACCCCTTGAATGCAATTAGCAGTGATTTTTGTTACCAGTAGAGTCAAGCAGGACATGTAGTCTTACCAGACTGTTGAAATCCCTGGGGGGAAGCTAAGTTCCTAATGGTGGAACAAAAAAGTACAAGTCTATTACAAAGTTCAGCAGGGTCAAAGTACAGGTAACTTTTTTCTTTCGACTCAACCTGCTATTTTCCAGAGCTGTTTTCCTAGAATTTATATTTTCTTACTTATCTGTTTCTTCTGAAATAACTTATATTTATAGGATTCAAAACATTTCAATGCTGAAGCTTAAACATATATGAAAATTTGAAACTGGTCAGTAGTAAAGAATCTGATCAGACAACACAGATAGGCAGGCTGGTGGTGGCAAAGGTTATACAAAGGTGTAAAAATCTATTTTTACCACTGATGACCTTGACCCTACCAATATATAAAATACTTCAGTTAATAGAATAAGTTTACACCTGTAAGTGTAAAAATCTTTTTTTGACATTAGTGACCTTGAACCCTCCCTAGGCATGTCTGTATTAAACAAGAAAGACATCAGTTTAAAAAAAAGACTGTATGAGTAAAAATGTTTCAATTTATTTTTTAACACCAATGACCTTGACCTCAGTGACCCCACCCTATAAAAACTAAGAAGACCATTAAGGTATCCACCTACCAAATATAGAAGACATCATTAAATAAATTAGGTAATTAAGCGAAAATTAAGATAATTCCAACATGTCACAACAGGTTAACCATACATTATATAAGGCCCTACTTTCAAAGATAACTGGTAAAATTGGATTGGCAATGTCATGTACTCTGTATTGATTATAAGTGTTATGAAGTTATTAGTATAGACAGAACTTAAGATATTTCCAACTTGAAGGAGGTTAATCATATCCATTTTTCTAAATGCTGAAAAGGGCAATAACTTGATAAAAATGGAAGCCATAGTCCTGTAACTTGCCATATCATGTACTTTGTATTGATTATTAAATGTGTAAATTAGAAAGCCATTGGTACAGGTAGAACTTAAGACAAATCTGATTTGCGGTTTTAGGTTAATCTCATACAGACAGACGGATCATACTTTATCCATATTTGTGTCCTAAGAAAATATAAACTGAATTTTTCACAATATTTTATTCAATAATCAAATATTGATCAATAAATAAACCATAATAATATATAAAACATTAATATATATGTCGTATGTATTATATAATATTGAGGTAGAGACTATTTAAAACAAAGCCATCATTTAAATATACTAATCGAAAGCTTTTCCTAATTAGGAGGAAACACATACAGATCATATGTAAACACTTTCTAATATAAAGGAAAACCATTTATCGCAAACAATAAATAAATAACTTAAGAATTAGAAAAAATGATTTTTAAAATCCTTTGTTATTCCTCTTTAGGTATGTTTTGTAAAAAATATGTCAAGCTTTCCCTGTGACCCACCAAGTTTCACTTTTTTACTGTTCCTTTCATTTCCCGGAGTTCCCGTACTTTTTCTCTTGACCTGATTCGCTGCACTATTCCTACTTTCAGTGTTCATATCTTTCTGTAAATCCATTGCAAAATGGAAGTCCATATGTTCAGGCATTTCCCAGACAATTATCATCTTATCACATTTTTCACATTGCATGTAATCTTCAATTGAATAGTCAGACTCATTAACAACATCATTTGTTTTAGCTAGATTTGTTTTCGGACCATTATGATCACTATCTGATTCTTTACCTCCTTCCATTCTGGGATTCCCAATTTCATCATCAGAATCACCGAGTACCTCTATTTCAGTATCTGTTGATTTCACAGTAAGCTTTGGTGTTAAATCTTTTGAATTAACGCAAATATCACAACCAGTCTTTATGGAGCCATTTAAATTTTCCATTTTCTGTCCAAAGAATGATTTACTAGGCATATCTTTGGATGTACTAGGTGTTGGTATACTATTGTCAATTGTTTTAGACTTATCTTGTGTATTTCCAACGTTTTCTAATTGTTTTCTTTTAAAGAAAGACTTCAGACTGTTGTCACTAGATTTACTATTTTGTCCTTTGTTTTCACCACTTTTTTTTGTATCGTTTGATTTTGGAGACTCATCACGATCTTTTTTAATTTTATCATTTACTTGCTGGGAGAAAAATGACATAATTGAACCTGGTTTTTCCTGTTTAACAGGTGACTCATCATCAGCAGGCTGGTTTTTACTTTTTATTACTACACTATTTTCACTATCAGAAGACTGGTTATCTTCTGTGAAAGTACAAGTTGACTGGTTCCCATATTTCTCAGACTGTGTGAGTGACATTGACTGGTCTTTTCTGTTAAACATGTCACTTATACTCACACTTGAAGATGAATCATCTTGAAATTTTCCAGCAGACAGTCCCAAACAAATGATAGGAGGACACCTACAATGGTGAATTATAATATTTTATGCAAGATATTTCTTTTTCACTTTTTGTCTCCATTAACAAATTACCCTTTCAGAAACTTTCACCAATAAAAAAAAATTCTGTGACTTGCCAAATACTGACAATAAATAACAAATAATTAATCGTAATCTTGCAAGAATATTGCAAAAATAGTACTACATTCTTACCATGATGCTTGATGTGGGGGACTCGTGTTGAACTGTTGTGCATGAGTAAAAGCATCACTGGCAAACTTTGCAGCATCATACTTGATTAGAGCACACACCCTTGATGCTGACACTGGACGTGGATGACTCTCGTATCGCACTGACAATGTCAGAGATTTCGCTGTCCTCTTATTCTACAAAAAAAAAGTTCTGTTAAGTTAATTACTAACAGAGGAACTTATAAACCAATTTGAAATAAAGTGATAAAGTACAAGGCTGTGAGGAGTGTTTTATCACTTTATCTCAACAAGTTTGATAAGTTCAATATGAAAAGAAACTCATGTAAGATTATTCTTATCACATAAACTGAATAAGTACTCCTTGTGTTTTTTTTATGATATGCTGTGTAGTTTCGCTGTTATTGCTGTTATATATATCTCCGCAGGTATTGGGTACGCAATATGAATTGGATTTAGGATAGATTTGGACAGTAATCCTTATCATCATGTCCCGCCATATTTGTTTATTTTGTTAACAGTGCATATGAAGACGGAAATAAAATCATCAGTCGCCTCATTCGCATAGTTATTACACTAGTGCAATATTGGTTTTATGACACTCCTGCTCCATGGTATACATGTTAACTTAAAATAAATTATATCTATTATAAAATAGATTTATAACTATCTTTATAAAATAGATTTATAACTATATAATATTACAAGACTTACATTTACTTTGTCTTTTTCCAATCTTTCATGGACTTCTTTAGCTAACTCAGTCAGCCAAAATTTAACCTGAATAACAAAACAATTTTCTTAACCCCTTGAAAACATGTATCCATAAAGACTTGCTTAAATCACCATTATAGAATAGCCATCCTGCACTTACATAAAGTGTGACTAGACTCTTATGCTATCAACTGCTTAATCTAAAAATTCCTCATGTATACAACAGACAGTTTGATATTCAGTTCAAGAAAATTCAGATTTCTATTTGATAGATCCCTTTTTTGAACTTTTATTTGAATGACAATAGATTTAACCACAAACATTGACATGAATTGTGCTCTTTGTTAACAAATAGTTTGTGGTGAAATTCTTATTGTAATTAATTAGAATTAGACAGGTCAGGGATCTATGCATTTCTAATTTCTCTTAAAAATTTATTTGACTCAATATCACTTATCATTCTTTTCTTTCAAAATAAACTACAGATATCTACCTTCTCCCTTGTGTTTAAACAATTCTTTCCTGTAAAGTTTTTGCTGCAACCAATACTTTTAGGTAACTGCCTGGCAGCCACAGGGTCATGGTCGAACCCTCGGCATACCTCATATAACCATGACCTATTAAAATGAAAAATGATCAAAATTAATATCTATACAACATGAGAAAATTATGAGTATGAAATTTAATATTAGATAAAACAAATAAAAAAGATTTTGTTTTATAACAATTATGCCAGCTTTTTTTTTTATATTTTTATTCAAATTTTAACCTTACAAACACCAACCAACCACAATTATTATTACTTACATAAATCATTCTGATAAAAATATCAATATTAATGTATCTAGCATGTTTTGGTAGAAATGAATGCTTAATGTATTGCAGACAGGAGAGTTTTCTAAAGAATGCCTGACATTGTTCTATTTTACCGAATGCTACTCTCGAAACAAAAAGTGATTAGTTTTGCAATCAGATAGAGCCAGCCAGCAAAATCCATGCAGTGTTTGAATTGCAATTTTTTGATATTGAAATCCCTTGAATTTTAAATGGACTGTTCCGAATTCAAAGCAGGACACATCCATTACACAAATTAAGCACAGTAAGGGCTAAAATAAGTGATTAAAGACTGACTTTTATTAAATAATACTAAATAACAATAATAACAACTATAATGACAATTTACTCTGAGAAAGTTACCCATTTTTGTCTCCAAGTAACTGTTGTAATGCTTTCTCAGAGAATTTTAGCAAGTCTCCCATGTTCTCAGCCTGAAGATGTTCCATAACTAACTGCCCCATCTTTCCACCTAGATTACGTCTGCAGTGAGAAAAAGACGGTTTATTAAAAGAAATATCATATCTTTTACATTAGTCAACCCTAAACCTGCTGGAAACTTCAAGTCTGACCTGTCTCTGTAAAGTTGGTAACTCATTTTTGTATTTTATTACTGAAATTCCTTTAAGTTCTAAATGGCTGTTACAAATTCAAAGTAGGACAAAAGTCTGGATAAAGTGTGATCCCTAGGAATCATTAATTACATCAAAATTACATGAAAATTGCAATCTCGGTATGATCCAGTCAGTAAATGATGGTTAATGAGAAAGTGCAACCCCTAGTCCCCTATGCATCCCCTAGCCACGACTTAAGAGGTACTCAATTTTCAACATTTAAGTGCTGGAATCCATTAATACTCAAATCCAGCAGGTTAAGGATTTATCTGGAAATACTTTTTTACAGAAGAAATCAGCACAAATTTGCAAGTAAGAAAGTTTTAAAGTTTTTATTTGGGAAAATAACTACACATACATTTTTCTTTTTAGAACATATGAAATTTTCAGTTTTCAGCAGATACAGAGAAATAAAATCTTTTTATCATCTGAGAACGAACAATAAAAATATTCACTAAGATGAGATACATGTATTGATTTTTCTTTTACCATGATCAAAAAATAGATAAGTGAAATACTACTATGAACTTACATTTTCCTAACTGGTAGTGTGACAAACAGATTAGGAACTTCACTGTGAGGTAATATTGTCTGTTTATTTGGTTTGTGAAAACCACAAGCTAATTTAGATAACATCTGAAAATAAAAAGAACCATTATGTAAATCACAGTACTGTTTAAACATTATAATTTGTGGGGCACTAATTTTTGCCTGTTTTTCATTGATAGATCAATCCTGAATTTTATTTTGAACAAAAATTTTATTTTGTCTGCTTGGCGCTTATATTTATAATAAAATTTGCATTTTTTTCTTACTTGTAAAAACAGATAATCCAAGAATTTAAGAACCCACAAATATGTCATTTTTGAGAAAACCATGAAATTTCAGGCCCAGAAAATTAATTTAATTAATACTGAACTTCACTTAAAACGAAATTCCAGTTATAAGGAACGAAATAATGAATACAAGACATTAAAACTCATAAGAAAATATGCAAATAATTATAAATCATTAAATTGGTAATACACCAATACTGTAATGGTCATATGACGACTTTTTGCAGCTCGACCAGTGGAGGAAGACCTTATGTGAACCTCTGTGCAATATTTCAGATACAAGGTGGCACCTGAATAGAACCATCAACATTCTCATTTCTGTAACCTTACTGGATAGCTTCCTCACATGAGAAAAATTCAAAGTCCCTTGCTGGATTCAAACCCACAGCGGTGAGGGGCAAGTAGTTTGAAGTCAAAAACCTTAACCACTCAGCCATGTATGTCCCAACCAAAATATTGAATTAAACCTTACCTTGTTATGAGCAATACCAGCTGAACACCTGAATCCAGTATCACTGTACACTGCCGCTCTCATTTCCTCAGCTATAACCGCACCCACAGCCAGACGCTTATTATAACAATCCATCGTATCTTCGTCAAATGTTGCACTTAGCCAGTCTGACAAATCTTTACCATCTGTAAATAAGTTGGAGATTAAGGACACATAGATCACATGAAAATAGACTGGTTTAATCTGTAGATGCAACCAAATTTTCATGTTATTAATGAACAAAATGTGTTCATAAAACATAAAGCCTACAAGTAATAAAAATGCTCATGTCAAAAAAAAAAGAGTTGATAAAAGCACAAGGCTAGCAGTATTTTTTTATATTTAAAGCCAGACTAGTTTACAGTATTGTCTTCTTTTTAGTCATACAAAACATGAAAATCAAGTTATTTTACTTATCTTTTTAACAGAACATCTTAACATGCTATGATGACATTTTTCCACTTATTTTACCTTGTATAGCTAATTAGGATCGCAATTTTCCATTTTTTATGATTTATTTCTATAGATAGGGTTACATTTATATGGTAATATTATATTTGTCTTTATTTCTTTATCATTGCCCTTGATGATATCATATTTTTCATTTTTTTTTTAAATGTTAAACATGGCTAGATTATTTATTTTTCACCTTTCTGTACTGTCAACATTACTTATCAGAGATTTTTCATCTTATATAACACAAGCCAAGAAAGGGCCTCTTCTAAAATAAATTTTCTTTAAAAACATGCATTTTATCCAAAAAACTGAACTTACACCAGCATTTTAACTTCTCAAATAAGAAGTTTTAGTGACAATTCTTCCCAAAATCAAGAGGATAAGGCCTTTTCCAATTAAGTGAGAAAAATCACTGCTAATATACAGTATGTCCACAAATTTCTTTCTGACAATGATTTGACAAGGTCTTTTTTTTTTTTTTTTTCATTACACAACATAAATTTCATTATTTTTATAACAATAATATACTTATACCTTTCTCTTTATTGTGACCTACAACATGTGTATTAGGGAGTTTATCTAGGGAGACTCTATCTTGACTGAGAGATGACAGTCGTTTTCTACCTCCTCGGTGAGATCAATGTAGGCCTCGTCTACACTCGCTCTTTCTACACAATTACTGAACCTTGATAACACTTCTATAACCTCGGCCCCGCCTTCACGATACCTGAATATCAAAATCATAGTTCTTATTTAAAGAAATATGGCAAATAATATGAATCTGTACTTTTAGTTAGGTATATACTATAAATACATGTACATCTAATCATTATCTAGACACAAATACGATCATAATTTATAGGTAGCTTTCACTCAAGTTCAATGGTCAACTTCCCTTTTGATGACTCGAAAAAGTTGTTACATTCATTCATGGGTAGAAAATATTTCCGTCAATTTATCTGCTGGAATTTAGATTCAATCTTTCAGATCATAACCCTGTCATATGTTTGGGATAAACTCTCAACTTTTAAGTAAATTTAATGAAAAGACATGTTTTACATATGACCCATGTTTTAAATGCTGTCAATATGTATGTTAAGTAGATGATATACACAAACCTACACAAATATAATTTTCTGTTTATCACATACCCAAAATAAAGAGTGTTTGAAGTGCAAATGAATTACACTTCAAAATGTATGCATGGCCGTGCAAGACCATTTTTATGGAGTTGCAAAATCGGCAAGGGTATGACTGTGATAATTATGAAGAGCAACTGACCCATTTGTAAAAGTTCATTATAATTTACTGTCATTAACAGGATTCTGGATAATTAGACCTTAAATTAACCATTTCATGACCTACACATAATTGTCTGCCTCTTGAATCTCTTAAATCATTTTCTTCTTATTTGTGAATGCAAAATAAACAACTTGGAATATTTGGGGGGAAAAAAAACATCCATGGTACATACCTTGTAAGATCAGCCTTTCCCCGAACTAGAGGCACTCTAACAAGGTTGATACTTGGACACTTTGCTTTCGCATCATCTCCCCTCATTTGTCTTGTGACACCAAAATCTCGTGCTTCGTAACTTACAGCTATAATTCTAGAAAACAATTATACAAAACACCTATATGAAAAGACTTCATTTATCATAACCATTGAATTATAAATTGTTTCCATCTTATGTACAGTAATATTCACACTTTTGTGAGTTTTGACAACTTTTCAATCAGTAACTTCTTCTTGCAATATCATTTAAAAGAATAATTATACATAGTACAATATCAAATACAGTGATTAACAACATACAGCCTCTAATACTAGTAGATCACTTCTAATTCCAAAACATCAAAATTCTGGATATTAACTTAAAACATATCTTTACTCATCTCAGGCCTACACTGTTTTCAATAACATTTGTCACTCGCCATGTTTACAAAATACATGTATTGAATGAACAATACTGAAGGTGAGTTATAACTCACTGGTGGTAGACATCATGGTAATTTTAGTCTTTTTAAGTACACAACTTCATTACCTCATATATCGTTCAATTCAGTGAAAAAAAAAGAAGAATTTACCCTCCGCCTTTCCATGGATTATACTGAACAACTGCACATGGTTTTCCCTTTAAGCTGGGGTCCAATCTTTGTTCTACTTGTACATAGAAACAATCCATGTCAACCAGTGCTACAATTCTCTCCATACTTTATAAAGAGGGAATCTGAAATGCAAAGAAAGTCTTTTGATGGATTAGTAGGCCAAAGTTTATGGTGATTCAGCCAAAAAAAACCACAACATACATTGCCATTGAAATTTGTTAATGTTATAATCAAATAAAACACCATAAAATTTCAATTTAGATGTTACAACATTGCAATGAAATCAGGTTAACTACTTCTTAAAGGAGCAAAACAAGCCCTGTACGTTAGACAGCAAGCTTGAATATGATAGAGGATTAAGAAAATGTATAAGTCAAAAGCATGGGCATAATTAATTATTCCAAAATCTATGACATGTTCTTATGCTAGGAAATTGGTATGAGAGAAAACAGTCTCAAAGGATTATCACAAAGTGTTCAGAACAAGGATAAAAGAAAATTTTGTGTTTCAACTTTCAAGATTTTATTTAAGTTTGATAATCCAGCACCTTAATCATGTGTTATCAGTCTCTTTTAAATCTGTTTGGTGAAGAGGTAAAATTATCTTTCATGATAGTGAATTACATTTTATTAATAATTATATCTTGACTCAAAGCTTTTGTATTTATTTCAACTATAACAATGTTTTCCAAATTTACCTTGGGAATTACATCAAATGCAGAGCTCAGCTGCACTATATATTTGCATTTATCTTTATTTAACCATTTAATGTGGAAAAACTTTATAAGTTAGAAAAAATAAAGTGCTCCTTTCCTATTTTCCTAAATTTTATAAAAATTGAATTGTTTATAATTAAAATCAATTATTTTAAAACAGTCATAGTGGCACCAGCCATATTGAAGAGATAATTTCTGCTTCAAATTGCTACATGTATTTTTACTCTGACTAATTTGTACGATGATCTTTAATCATTCTATTTTTCATTTTTTTTTAAAAAACAACAATTTTTCATACATTGTATTTCATTTTAATCCAAAATGACCAAAAATTATAAAAAAAAACAAACATCCTGATTATAATCACTTTTAAATACCATTTATGCAATTTTCCCAGAGCTAGAATCTTGATAGCCTAATTAATTTGGTGTAAACTTTTTTCAAACTGTTAAAGAAATGCAGTTCATGGTTTGACTTGTAAAAAAGACATCACCCATCTAACATTATCTTGAGGCTATATCCTGGAATAGACCCAGGGGTTTAAACCAGGAGTATATATAAGGTTCATTCGTTGTCTATAGTTTATTATATACAAGTTTTACTTCTGAAATATACATAGGGGTCTAATCCAGGAGATTGCCTATCTTGATGTCTTTGACAAGTCTAATTAGTTGGACTTTCTGGTGTCCCCCAAGGCTTGGTCCTGGGACCTTGCCTTTTTTTATCTTACATAAATGACCTCCCTGATAGTGTTAAGGGCAAGGTTAGATTATTTGCAGATGATACAATAGTATACCTAACAATAAACTCAAACCAAGATGCACAAACCCTCAAAAAAGATCTCAACAATCTTGAAAACTGGGAATCTGATTGGTCCATGAAATTTAATCTAGATAAATGTGAAGTCCTTAGTATCAGCCGCAAGAAACATCCAATAACTGTCAGGGCACTCGTTTGGTCGTTTTTGGGGCCGAATATGGGTACTGTTACCCTTTCAAAATCATATTATGTATTTTTCCCCTATGTCATTAAAAGAATCCCCTCCAAATTCTAAAATAAATCAACTTAAAGTAATTTGTTTGATTTGTTAGTCTAATACTAGCTATTGATTTCAATGGTAGGAGAATTACAAACTATTGAAACCAATGGTAGGAAATAGTGTAATGAGTAAATGTGATAAAAAAATACACTAAATACATGGTAACATAAAATTTCGAATTTGCCTTAAAACGACGCAAAATTCCCCTTCTTTAGGGTATGGGTACCTGTCCCCAAAAGGTGTCTAGTGCCCTGACTGTTAACATTCCCTTATAATTTACATGGTCAACAACAAAAATCCACTGAGGCTGCAAAATATTTAGTTGTAACAATTAGTTAAGCAGTGATTTTTTTACCTCTGCATCCCGAGTCCAGAACTCAATGAATTTGCTGTGGATGCAAAGTTTCAAATAATGTGCATCTTTTGGACGCATTCTTTTTCTAAGTAGGGAGTCCTGTCTGACAGGAATTTGGTAATAAATACCAAATTTTGTTCAAGTTATGTCAATCATATTCTAGGTCTGCAAATCTTCTACAGATAAAAAATAATAAAGTGCTATACTATAGATAAGCATAAAAAGCTTAAGGAAAATGAAGTTTTGATTAATATAAAACTAAATTAATGGAAATAAACTTATTAAATTATTTGACAGTTTTGAATAATTTCAGTATCAGAAGCATTGTAATTAATGTAGAAATCAAATTCATTTTTTCTCCTCTCTATTGTTAATATACCTTTCATATCACTAAAGCAATATTAAGCCTTGTAACTTGTATTTGTTGGCTAAATTTTGGGACTCATAGATTTATAGCCCAGCGAGTCCTAGGACCCACACTGATGAGTTTGTAAAAAAATCACTGGTAAAGACCTATCTTGGACCAATAATATAAACAACATAAGAGCAAAAGCAAATAATTCACTTAGATATATAAAAAGAAATGTCAATACTTCAATTCTAACACTATCAGGAATTTTTTCTATATAAACAAAGAAGGCCCGAAGCGTGCATTATTCTACAACAATGCACTCGCCGTTCTTATTATCTCCCTGTGTATTTTCACATTGAGGGCGCCATTTTGTTTGAAAAATCTGATAAATAAAAACAATTTTTTGTCGAATTTTGTTGTGAAAACTATCTAGAATAAAAGAAAATGGTCTAAGAAAATGAATCCGAACACCAATATCTTTTATTCAGTCGTTAACGCTGTACAGATGTTTAAACAATTATTTACATGACGTCACAATGCAGCCCCAAACAGCACGTGCAAAACAATCAAATCAAGTACGCTATTTTAATGTCGCAAATGAGTTAAGTTTTACATTTATTTCACTTTTAATAATTTTTATATCGCTTGAAAAAATATAGAGTGAAATAAAATAAACAAACAAAGTTTTATCAACGTTTTCAAAATTCGTTATTCTCTAAATGTTTCTACACAAGGAAGATTTAACGACAGTTTTTCCATACCACTGGAACAGCCTTTAAAGAACGTTTCTATTGGAAACTCCGAGGCGTAAACAAATTTAACCAACAACATTATAATAATAATTATATTTTTTCTTGATGTGTTAGAATGGAAATAGATATTAATTCTTTGTGCATTATTGTATAATAATGCACGTTTTTCGTTCAAATGCTTTGTAATAAATCACTCAGGCCTATCGGCCTTCGTGATTATATTACTACGCATTTGAACTCAAACCGTGCATTATTCTACAAGTCAACAATGCACTCAGAATTGATATCTATTTCCTAAACAAAAAGGTTAAAGAAACTGCCAACAAAACCTATGTAAGGCCCCAGTTAGAATACTGTTCCTCAGTTTGGCATCCTTGGCAAAAATATTTGGTTTACAAAATAGAACAAGTTCAAAAGGTCAGCTGCCAGATATGTATACAACGACTACAATTACACCAGTAGTGTATCTAGAATGTTAAGTGAACTTAATTGGCAAACTCTAGAGCAGAGGCGCAACATCAGCTCTGTTACCCTACTCTACAAAATCCAACACAATCTTGCAAGGGTCGACCATCACTATCTGACACCCACTAGAAACCTGAACTACCTGATACCATACTCAAGTACACAATACTACTCCTATTCATTTTTCCCCAAGAAGTATCTGTGTGTGGAATGGCCTACCCGTGTCCTTACAAGCTAGCCCCAGTTTAGACCTCTTTACTGGGCAGCTGCATCATTTTTATTTTACCAGCTCTAATTCAGCTGCGCTTTTAACTTTTTATCTCAGTCTTGTAGTTCTTTTTAAACTTGCTTTTATCTTATACCTATAAATTTGCACTTAACACATTAATTTTATTTTAACAGCTATTCCCAGACAACGCACCTGCTTAGTGTAATAGTTAACGATTTTGAAGCAGTATGATGTAGATGTAGACTAGCATCTGGAATGGAAGTGGCTAGCCGTAAGGGCCCATACGGCTAGCCAAAAGTTCTAGTCGTACGTGAGTCACGTACGACTAGCCAGGACACACTGTATTGGCTAGCCATACAGCACATTTCAAAATTATAACGAAAGTCAAATATGCATATGTTATTTTGTGTCTTTAAACGAGGATTTTAACCAAGTACCCTCATTTGTCCTTGTTGTGTTCCCTTTAATAAAGATGCTCAACCATTTTCAACAAAAAAACGAATACGAAGGTAATACAAGCGTTGTTATCTTGATAAAAGTGTCAAAGTTTCATGACGCATTATACAAAGTACATGCAAAGCTATATTTATGATTAAATAATTCATTTGTATGAAAGATGAATTAATAAATCATTTTTGTTAATTAAGCACATGGAATAAATAATCATAACGTCAAAAGGAGCTTGTTTCATAAAGGCATGATCGGAGTGGAATAAATTAAATAAATTTAAAAAAAAACAGAACATTGGAAGAAAAAAAAACGGCGAAAAGCAAAACCAATTGTATAATTTTTAAATACAGTAGATAAATATTGAACATAAAAGCAAAACGGCGAAAAGCAAAAACAATTGTATAATTTTTAAATACAGTAGATAAATATCGAACATAAAAGCACAATCAATTAAAGCCTATCCTGGGAATAGAATTTTAAAATGCGTTTCAGGGAACATGCAAACTTTCCTCAATGATGGACAAACTTCGATCTACTGTCAGTAATTGACGCAATTATCAGAGCCCAACAACAATTATTTTCGGTGCTTGTTTTCATTTTTAAAGGTGTTGAAAATTAAACTTATTGAAACAAAAAATGATTATCCCAATTTTGTAAATTATTTCAATTGAATCAATTGAATTGATATTATTTAATTGCAACCGAAATGCTTTTTTTTCTCGTCGTCTAGAGATGACAAAGATCAATATCATTTGTAGTTTCTTTACTGTAACAAACATGGCGAATAATCTTTAAAAGGTAAACATACGAAGACAATTGCTGTTTCTTGGTTAAAATCCTTGAGTAATGTCATAAAATATCAAATGCATTTTCGACTTTGATATAATTTTGAAAAGTGCCGTACGGCTAGCCAATACAGTGCATTCTGCCTAGTCGTACGTGACTGACGTACGACTAGAACTTTGGCTTTGCCGTACGGCTAGCCACTTCCATCTGGAATGCACAAAAGCAGTGATTAATCTAGAAATTCCTTACAATGCGTCGGATGATGCACATGTTTGAAAACAATGAGTCCTGTAGCAAAATCAATGAGTCATGTAGCAAAATAAATGCATCTTAGCAGAATTTTTTTTTTTAATAGCAGATCCTTGACATGATTTGCATGTTGATTAAGTAATTAAAGTGTATAAAAAAGTTATTTTTGGTACTAACATTAATTGCAGGCAAAACAATTTTTATTGGCTGCTCAAAAGTCAAAAATCTAATTTGCATTTAATAATTTATATTTTCTTACTACTTATGTCTAATACTGTGCATTATCCATTTTGATTGTTCGTAATTTGCACAAAATGTCCCTGTCACACTGTATACATACTGACGACTTTTATTGCTCCTTGTATGCCTCTGTGTAGAAAGCATACACAGACAGACCTTTTGATCATGAAAAAAGTCATGCACAATGTTTCCCTGATTGGTTAATCACCCTGTCAAATATTCTGATGATGTAATAGACATCTTTTTTTTTTTTTTACTCCGCGTGAACTTGAGTGACCTTAGGGGAAATCATTACACACCTGTCAGATTATACTGTAACTTACAGCATTTCTTAAAATAGCAACACTTTTTTTTCAGTTACCAATAATTATCTAAAATATTAAGTAGATTAAATGATTTTTTGTTTGCTTTATTGGATTAAATTTACGGTAGTAGAAATGTGATAGTAGAAATGCGTATCTGTGTGGGAAAGGGATTAGGTAAGTAGATAACTTGGAAAAATGCTATAGGGAAATGGATAAACTCAAAAATATGCGTAATTACAGGGGAATGCTGTTGGTACCAGTCTTGTCTGGATGACTAAATAACATACAATATAAGTCTGGCACAGATTTTAGATGCGCCTTTGCTGACGATTTTCCTGTGCCCTTCTCATTTTTTTTTTTGGCGTCAATGGCACAGGCAGATCTCTGCAAATTTAACCAGCTCTCATGCAAAATGGACGCTCTGATTGGCTAATGCCGATAATGGGCGGTTACCGATCACAAGCAATAATTGCTTGGGATTTAACGTTTCAAGCAAATGGGGGATTAGTCTTGCACTTGTTATCATCGGAAATTAAATTATTCAACTGAAGAAATTGAATATTTTTCAACTAATGAAATTAAAGTAATCAAACGGTACATTGAAATCACTAGTCGTGATATTTTGGATTATAAATTACCTGATTTGCATGCGTCAAATTAAACGCACATATTTTGAAACTGTGCATCTTTTTCGATTTTAATGCTTATTTTACGCAAGACGCACATCTAGATTAATCACTGCAAAAGTACCAACATTTAGCATGTAGCTAGGTATTCGTATTTGTGAATTTCTTGTAAAATAATACATAATACGATAACCGTCTCAGACGATCTTTTAAGAGCGATACCTAGGGTGAAAAAAATGACTCATACGAATTAATTTGTGCACGAATGCCTTTTGCTCAGAAAAAATAAAATGTATTCTACCAAATTTTCAAACAAATATAGTGTCACATTAAACGGCTGACTTTTTACTCAGATGCCCTGTAGATTTCCCTCATAGTGGCAAAACATGTACCTTTGGATTACATAAAATAATTTTTTTAACAAACTTAAATTTCCCAGACTATTTGCGTTCTAGAAAATCAATGCAGCGTGATAATCGACAATATGGTTGAAGACCGCTATGTATTTTCAGTCTTAATAGTGCGAAATGGGTTCTTTTTCGCGAAATGGCCCCTTCCTCTACGTGATAGACTTATATATTCCATACTAACCTTTGTGATTCAATGCACTGTATCCCCCCCGCTCCATTCCCTTCCCCGCAACACCAATCCACTCCACACCACCTCTACTGCATTTCTTCACTTCTATAAACGTTCTGCAATTCCCACTCAGATCTACATCAATCCATGCACTCTTTTCCACTTCCATTTTATACTCCATTTTATTCTACTGTACTCTATTCCCACCAAATCTGCTCCGGATCTCGACTCTACACCACTTTTATCTCCCACCCACCCTAACCATTCGGGCCTTTCCACTCCCACTGAACTGCACTCCATTCTGCTTCTCCTCCACCTTCTGCCTCTGTACTTTACTCCAACTATATCCTACAAACATTTAACTGAAAGTCTGTGCCACTTCAATCCCACTGAAATCTACGAGACTTCTGTATTTTGCAGACAGAATTAATATTGAATTTTGCAGATAAGTTAAACAAAGAAGGATTTGCATGGATCACAATTTGTAGACAAACACAGAAGGGCTTTGCAGACAAGTAAATAAGTATACTGTATATCAGTTCTGTGCAGACAGAAATTATCTAGATTTTTGCAGAAAAGTTCAATAAAGAATAAAATTTGATCGATGTGTTAAATAAGTAAAATATATGAAATGATAGGCCAATATAAGGTAATTCAGTATATCACTTATATAATATAGGTTGAGTATGGCAGACAAGTTTGACAAATAAGGATTTTGCAGACACAAAAAGGGATAATTATATGAGATACTTTAAATAATTCATATTATCTTCAAAATCTAAAACCCTTCTTTATTGAACATATATACTTAATTGTTTTCAAATCATTTTTTTTTGTATTTATATAACTTTTCTACCAAATTCAATCTATGTTATGTATGAGATATACAGATTTTCCTTTTCATCTGTTATTTCATATTTTGTTATTTATTTAAACTGTCTGCAAATTCGATCAACATTCTGTCAGCAAAGCACAGATATTCCTACTGTACGAACATACTGTATTTTGACCTATAATTTCATATTTTGTTCTTTATGTAACTTGGCAGAAAATTTCAATCTGAATTATGTCTACAAAATATGGATCATTTCGTATTTTGTTCTTTCTTCACTTGTCTGCAAAATTCAATCAACATTCAGTCTGCAAAATACAGAATAGCCTATTATTTAAAATTTTGTTCTTTTATAAATTTATAAGATTTTTTTAGTACTACTACTTTCTTGTATTAGTTGAGTCAGTATCTTTGCCATTCACGCCTTAAGAAACGAATTTAACACCATCTGTATAATCTATTTTGTCTGCAAAATCTAAAAACCCTTCTTTGTTTAACTTGCACGCAAAGTATACCGACCCGGGAATAATTTGAACAGAACCCATGGCAACAAAAATAACGGTCCAAAAATAACGGGCACCTTGATAAATTTAGTGATATTCAACCTTAAACAAAATGGCTGCCAGTCGCAGCAATAACCAGGTAACGTAAACAAAACAAATATTTTTAGGTTTAATTATAAAGTTTTCTTGTGATTTGTATTATTAAACCGTTTATAAATTTGATTATCTAGTGGTATTCTTAAATTTAATTACAGAATCTGTTCAAACCGCTGCAGACTAAGTACTTTTTCAGAATCCGGAAATGTCAATAAAGTTTCCTTTTATTAAAAGGAAAGGCTTGCACAGTTGTGCCTTCATCCCAACATATTTAGTTGTTTTTATTTTTTGTAAAAACGAATATTTTTGTCAAAACGATTTGAAATCTATTCTCTATTGTATAAAACTAATAAAGAAAATAATCAATCGTAAAAATACTAACGTGGGGCTCTATCTATCATACTGAAAGGAAACAATTGTGCACATTTCATTTCCACTTTTTTCGCAGAGAAATCATTCGTTTTGGTAGTATATAGCAGCTTTATAGACAAGTAAATGCGCTAAAATACTTCGTTACGCGGTACCAATTAATAAGCATGTTCACAGATACGATGCGCTATCTATAAATCATCACGTGGCAAGGTTAATGATATGCATGGGCTATTTTTAGATTACCTCACCAAGTTCAGTAGATCTAAATATAACTCGATCATGCACTAATATTCTGTGTGATTTCGAACACCCTTTGAAGACGGAATACTACTACAGTCAACATCCTCTATTGTATAAAACAAATACAGACAAAAAAACAATTATAAAAGAAACTTACTTTTGCGTCTTGAAAAAGAATTGAAACGGAACAATTTCGTTTATAATTTATTACGGTTTAAATCAATAAATCATCCTATTTATATAAACAAACTGGGATTACCGAAGTAACTAAAAATAGCTTAGATTTCCGTAATATTACTTCGTCTGATTCCGCAGTATGACGGAATCGCCCGAATTGTCACGATTGCAATCGGAACTACATCGGCTATTATCATTAATCCGAAGAGTGACGGAAAAGGCCGAAAAGTTGCGATTGGCACGATTTCAGCTGGTTTCCCGTTCAATCATGCATTTACAAATGTAAGCAGAAAACCACCTAACCGGAACAAGTTTTCCAAATGAAATGGCTTGCAGCCGTGGCTGCAAGCCAAAAACTTCAAAAAAAATGCCAAAAATTGGCAATCTCCTGGATTAGACCCCTATGTATTTTTTCTAAAGTAAAACCTGTATATTTACACTAAAGAAAACGGAATGAACCTTATATATACTCCTGGTTTAGACCCTGGCGTCTATTCCAGGATATAGCCAAAAAATTGACAAAAAAATCTAGATCTGATATCAGACTGCACATGAATTCTTTGATAATGCATTAAACCTTTACAAATCCTTGTTATATTTGCATTTTTCATGCGTAATACATACGCACGTCAGTATCACAATTATTAGTCCATATATTTGGATAAGCCTTAGCCATAGTCTCAACATTTTGACAGCAAGACTGACCAATTTTACAATCTGATATTACAAAGATGTTGGTCTTTGAGGGGCGTCCATTGTCTGCCCTAAAGCGCACAATTTGTTGGGCTAGACGGGCCAAAGCTAGATTCTGAGATATTTGTGTTCTGGGTTCTAGAGGGAAGATATTGCCCAATTATGCAAAGTAGTCAAAATATATTGATGTGCTAAAGCTAGTTTCTGAGATATTTTGTTCTTGGTCAGAATCTCGCTTCTGCATAGAGGCGAGATATTGATCAGACACAAAATAACACAATATCTTATTGTGCAGTACCAATAGTTGGACTATTAATATGCAAAGTTGCATGGTGTACGTAGTACAATATGTTGTACTACCCTGTGAAGTGTAATAGTCTACTGTATAGGCTCTATATTACAGAACCTTCAGTGCCATTCCATGGAAAGTGGCATATGGTCACCAAGTAATATTAGGAAGTGTGCCAAAATTGTAAAGGAGAAATTGTGAATAAAATGGTATTTTAAAGTGGGTCAATGGTTATGAAACCTGCATATCACAGACAATATCACAGACAATCTGTCAAAAGACAAATTAAAGAAGCCAAGAACACATACTAAGAGTAATTAAACAGTAATTAAGTGAGGAATAATGAAAAGCCAAACTTAATTGAAATAACCAAATATCACAAACACATCAAAAAATGTCATGTTGAATGATCTATAAGGATCTGAATTCAAACCTGGGTCAAACAAATGACTACATCGCATAGAAGTACAAATTTTGTATCTATTCATTTAACTTCATGGTATGAACAAATCCTTTGATAGTTCAGGTCTGTTGAAACAAAGGCATAAAGTTGTTCCTTATTATCACTCTGCACAACATGTATGATAAGTTTTAAACTACAGTAAAAACCCTCAATTAAGACCACCATTGGGACTGGACCAAAGTGGTCTTAATTGCGGGGTGGTCTTAATTGTGGATATTCTTATCATTGCTTACGCACGTTATGACCAGGGCCTATTTTAGTCATTTTGTAAAAACAAACAATATGTATCTTAACCTGCAAATACAATATTTATAAAAGTATGTTATAATATTACCTCTGATGGGAAGAAAACATATTTCTGATGAAATTTAATATCAAATTTTCTTTGTTCTGATTTCAATAGTAATTATTGTATGATGTACATAATTCCCATATCATATCAGACATTATTTCTTCACAAAACAAATGTTCATAAAGCAACATTAAACCACTATGAAATAAACTTTCTCACCTTTTTTCATTAAATATACCATAACTAACGGATTTTGACACCTTGTGTAATCAAGTGTCATGCCTAAGAGCAATCAAGCAGATAATAACAACATAACTACACATTTAAGATCTAGGAAGGTGTTGATTTTAATATCAGTGGTCTCAATAGTGAGGTCAAATAAAGAACAAAATAATGAATTGGGACTGAATTTGGTGGTCTTAAAAGTGGATAAGTGAGGTGGTCTTAATTCTGGATCATGTAACCATTGACATAAAGAACAGAAAATTCCGTTCTTTAAAAAACTGGTCTTAAAAGTGGGGTGGTCTTAAATCCGAGGTGGTCTTTAGTAGGGATTCTACTGTACATGTATATCATCAGTAGTTTAAAGAATCCAAGAAAACCCTACCATCAAACAAATGGTCACTTATCATTTATTATGAAATATTCAAATTCAATCCTTTTTTTTACCTTTTTATTGCAGGATAAAAACCTCAGTAAAATACCTTCTCTTGACTACAGCAATGATGAAGAACTGAACGAGGACACACGTCTTATGTACGAGAAATATAAAGAAAAGATGGATAACAGTATGTACATGTAGTGAACTTTTTTCTGATAAAGAATATACTGTTATATTGAACTTTTCTGAGGTAGATAATGAACTGGTCACCAGTTGACTTGAGTAGCAGTTAAACAGTAGCTATTTTTATAGATGTATAAATTAGATTTACACATGTGTGTAGATAAATTGTACAATTTTGTCAATTTAATTAGGAAGTCCTGTTTAGGATAGCTAAATATTACCTTTAGATTTTCTGCTTTTTTGGTTTGTTGTGTGGCAAAGGTCTTAAGGTTAAGAAATATTTTGACTGACTTATCTTAGTTATCTGGTGGCATAAGCATGTGATTTTGGCCACAAGTTGTCATAGAGTTATGTCATTACTTTTATATCATATACAAGCTTTTTTAAATGATAACATGGATGCATGAAAGTGCTTGAGCTTCTACTTAAGGCTACTCAAATTTGCTTTGGCACTGAATATACATGTACCCATACCCATGTACGCATCTGATCATGGCCTACACTGTTATGCTGTTCAGTCAGTAGCATATTTTGTAATTATTTTGAAATTTTTTTCTTTATAAAGATGAATGGTTTTGTCCACATTTAGAAATGGATGACACCATTTAAGGTATTTGTTTGGTAATAAAGGTTACCAAATTTAGATTGTGTAAAATGTTTGTAGCTTAGCTTCACTGTTATATGATATACTATTTTATATCTATAAAAGCAAAGCCCATTGATAAGAAGGAACGTAAACCCAGAGGTAGTATTTGTGTAGTAGTTGTTGTCTTCTCATGTCAGTTTTCCATATTTTGTCAATGCTTGTAAACACACAAGTGATCTTCATGCATGTCCCAATTTGTGACTCTCCGTCTATGCTGCCTTTTGATGATTAATTTGGGAATCAGAAGAATACTTTAGAAATAGTAACAACAGGGGAGTGGTGGCCTAGTGGTTAAGATGACCATGTGTGCCTCTCAACCCAAGGATACTGAGGATCTTGAACATGTTTCCTTATGTGACACCAGTACTGGTAGTGGGCTTGCGAGGCTTTCAAATAAGCAACTTAAAAGCTTTCATTGCAATGAAGATACCATAAATATGTTAGTTCCAAGAGGAACAATGTAATTTAAATGACAATAATTTCATCAAAGTTTTGGTTTGCCAGCTCAAAACACTTGAGATCCTAAGCCTACAAAATGTTGCATGGGGCAATATGGCCAATATTGGACTATCATCAATATTTCTTAACTCATTTTCTCTCAGTAACGATTTATACATTGTATGTAAAGTGGAATTTGGCCATCATTAACAGAAAGTAAACACGCATTAAAATCTTGAATTGTTTCTTTTGAATGCAATATTAGTATAACTTGTAGATTTGTATTTTTATTTTACTGATAGATGTGATTTGATTTTGTTCATTATGAGTTCAGTGCAATACTTAATTATCTCAATGAACCATTAGAGGTCTCTATGGTGGAGCAGTCATGGTCTTAGTCTGCCAATCACATGCCCAAACCATTGTGCATTCAATTCCTGTCTGAGATGCTAAATTCCTTCATTAAATTTTGAGAGCTTTTAATTAGAAGGTTGGTCAGTTCTAGCTTGGCTTGTACTTGTGCCTGAAATAATGCATAAGGTGGATGTTTGGCCTTTGTTGTTAAGACTTAAATCCCAACCAATGAATTTCAGGAACCAGTGTTACACTGAATCATGATTTATTATCCCCCCGCCGATGGAATCGGGAGGGGGATATAGTTTTGGCGTTGTCCGTCCATCCTTCCTTCCGTCCGAATTTCGTTTCCGGAGTAGTTCTCTGCAACTACTGGCTGGAATTCAACGAAACTTTATGGGAATCATCAATATCAAGAGGAGATGTGAATATCGTCGGCTTGTTCCGGTTCGACCCTTTAACTTAGAGTTATGGCCCTTGATTAGTTATGTAGTATGTATATAGAGTAAAATCGTTTCCTGAGTAGTTCTCTGCAACTACTGGCTGGAATTCAACGAAACTTTATGGGAATCATCAATATCAAGAGGAAATGTGCATATCGTCGGCTTGTTCCGGTCAGTCACTTTAACTCAGAGTTATGGCCCTTGATTAGTTATGCAGTATGCATATGGAGTAAAAATCGTTTCCGCGCTACTTCTCTGCAACTACTGGCTGGAATTCAACGAAACTTTATGGGAACCTTCAATACCAAGAGGAGATGCGCATATCGTCGGCTTGTCCCGGTCAGACACTTTAACTCAGAGTTATGGCCCTTGATTAGTTATGCAGTATGCATATGGAGTAAAAATCGTTTCCACGCTACTTCTCTGCAACTACTGGCTGGAATTCAACGAAACTTTATGAGAACCTTCAATACCAAGAGGAGATGCGCATATCGTCGGCTTGTCCCGGTCAGACACTTTTAACTCAGATTTATGGCCCTTGATTAGTTATGTAGTATGCATACATCTCATTGGCATTTCCAGATTTTACTATTTAACACAAAATTATGGCTCTGTTATTGCCCTGAATATTTATCAAGTTCAAAGAATATTACTGTTTATGCCATGAATAATATATAAATAAAGCCTTATGTCTTCAGTTGTTGTGTTAATAATAACCAGTACTCGGCTGGGGGTATAAATTCAACGACTTTGCTTGTTTTGTTAAGCACAGTATTTTAGTCTTTACAAACACAATTTGATTTGATGCAAGAGTTATTTTAGTATTTTTGATACTTGTAAATATGTTTTTAATATTTTCTGTAAAGAAGGAGATAAAAAAAAACTGTTTGAAATTCAGTTTAATAACAAGTAATACTGTATATAATATTTAGTTAATGATTTAAATGCAAGTGATAGGTATTTTAATTACTGATGTAAGTTCTTAGAGTCTTATAATTACTGAACGTAAGCTCTTAGGTTTATGTTTTATGATTATCTAATTTGGTACTTCCAAGATTTAGTCATGTTTGACCTGATTTCCTTTAGCGTTTACATATCTTTGTCTTTTTGAGATTTTTGTGTGAAATATTTTTGCATGCATTTGTTACGGATTGCCTGTTACATTCAGAAGTTGTAAGATTGGTGATAGTGTAAAGTTATTTTATCTTAATATCTTTTATTGTAATAATTCAATGGTTATTAATTCATAACACCAATGAACTGTGCAGTTCATTAAGTACAAAAAGCGTCTGAAAGCCACAATGAACAATAAGACAGTTAAGAAAATAGTCATTTGAAAATTCTGTAGTTTTTCAAGGAGTGTTGACTGTTGAACTACAACCACCAAGAGTACATTTATAAGATTTCCTCAAGCAGATTATTATGGGTCATTTAATTTCCCTTTAACTCTTAGCCAGCAAAATCCAAAAGTGATTACTAACTAGTAGTTTTTGGCCACAAGTATAGAGCCAGGCCAGCCTGCACATCCATACAGTTTGGCCTGAGGCTCTATTCTGTTGGTAGCTCAATTTTTGTATTTTGATGATTGAAATCCCTTAAACTTTGAATAGACTGTTGCATCTTAAAAGTCAGGCAAATCCATTATATTAATGAAGTAGGTAAAGGGTTAAGATTTATATGATACATTTCTGATGTAACAGGCAGCACTTATGAACATATGTTTTGCATGAGATTTAATGTTAATTTTTACTTACTGTTTTGGATTGTTTCCCTTTTTTCAGTGGAATTTGACGGTAAGTTGTATCAACGGTTTTCCTTTGTTTTGAATTATTTTTAATAACGTACATGTATGTTGTTTGAGCAAATTAAGTTTAAAGCTTTGCTTGCTTTAAAAAAAGGAGATAAAAAACACAGGATTTAATTATGCATTTAATAGAAAGTAGAATTTGATGAGTCTTATTTATTATTATAGAATTTTTGTTACAGCCTTAGCATGTGAGCTTTGAACAGATAGAGTATTTATTATAATAAAGTATATAATATTAGGTAGTTTTTTTTATCAGACACATAAAGGAGAAAAAACAACATTTTTTTTCTGTATAATAAATAGAGGATATTGAATGGGTGTAGGTTCAATACTAAATTTATTGAAGGAGTTGAATAAAATTATATTATGTGAGCCTCTGGCGAGCGTAATATTAATTTATTCAACATGTTCAATAAATTCAGTAATGAACTTACACATATTTAATATTCTAGTTATCACATACCAAAAATAAAGACTGCTTAAAATTGAAAAAGAGTAATTTTTCATTGACGCGTCTATAGTATAACGCTAACATTTAGCCTGACTTTTCACTATGTTTGTTTAACGCAAAATTTAATGACGTCACATCAAAATATATTCATGGCCTTGCAACACCATTTTTACAGAGTTGCAAAAGGTGCAATCTGTGACGGGTATGTGATAATATTTAACCTATATTGATATATTTTTAAAGGATAAAATTTTGATAATAAATTAATGATTTATACATGTAACATTTGAATGGTAAAACCTGTTTTACTATTTTCACTAACTGAGCACTTTAAATGTATAAACATATCACTTCCTATGTAAAAACTGTATCATTTTATTCCAATATATGCATTATATCAAATTAATTATGATGTTTTCTTTAAGTTTTGTAATAATATATCATCTTTAAAGACTAGAAATAACAGTTGTGCTGTTGTGTGTAAATGTATCTTTTGAAATTATTCAAAATTATGTTGCTTACTTTTTTATGTAGAAAATTACACATTGTAGATCTATATGTCAAACTGCACATGTGTTTAAGCTCATACAACGTACATAATGAACTTCATGCCATTTTTTTTGGCAGTTTCACAGAGCTGATTTTTTTTACCACAAATAACAAGAATGAACGTAAGGTTATCTTCTTTTTAAATTCATTGAAATCTATGTCATGCTTATAATTACTGGTAACTATGGTTGCCAAAAAAAAAACAAGAACAAAAAACACTGTTTACCAAGGTGAATGATATTAAGATGAAAACTAAACTTCATTTTCAAAAGTTACAATAAGCATAATTTTGGTTTACAGTAAACACGGTGAAAAGATACCTAAGTTAGAATATCCAAGGTCAAGGTTGCAAATATAAACCCTATCCAAACCATTTAACTACATTCTATACCCAAACAAACTCCTGTACAAAACCTTCACATGGGAAATGGATCAAATACTGAAACATTTTTGTTGCTTACATACATTTTGTATTATTTTTCTAATAGTGTGTGTTTGAATTTTCAACTAACAATGTTGTGAATCTTATATATCATTATATAAAGTGATATTATAATATGTTGTTTTTTTACTAACATGCATTTTGTGAAATTGCTTTGTTCTTTGCATACTTTTTGAAAGTTATATGTTGGTCAGTGTTTTTGGAAAAAAGTTTAAGACTTTTATCTTGTGTTACGAGATGACCTTTTTAAAAAGTGTACAATCTCATCTGAATTGAAAGATAATTACATTATATGAATATTATTTACACTTCATGGGCCTTTAAGCACAAATAATATAAATATTTGGCCGGGTTGCACAGGTGCAAACCCGGGTTATAGTATGGTGAATGTCGGGCGGTGGGCGGCGGGCGGGCAGGGAAAAAAATTTCGTAACAGTTTTCTTAACAACTACATATCACAGCCTCTTGATATTTGGTATACAGCATAAACACATGGTCCCATACTGTGGGATTCGATTTCAGGTCTGTCGCTCATCCACTTCCTGTTTATCCACTTAGTTAAATTAGTTAGATTTTTTTACATTAATGGTCAATGGTAGGAAATTTTCATATATTTTTCTCAGCAACTACTTATCACAGCCTCTTGATATTTAACATACAGCATTAACACATGGTCCCATACCGTGGGATTTGATTTCAGGTCTGTCGCTCATCCACTTTCTGTTTATCCACTTAGTTAAATTAGTAAGATTTTTGACATTAATGGTCAATAGTAGGAAATTTTCGTAACAGTTTTCTCAGCAACTACTTATCACAGCCTCTTGATATTTAGCATACAGTATTAACACATGGTCCCATACCGCGGGATTTGATTTCAGGTCTGTCGCTCTTCCACTTTCTGTTTATCCACTTAGTTAAATTAGTAAGATTTTTTGACATTAATGGTCAATGGTAGGAAATTTTCGTAACAGTTTTCTCAGCAACTACTTATCACAGCCTCATGATATTTGGCATACAGCATTGACACATGGTCCCATACCGTGGGATTTGATTTCAGGTCTGTCGCTCATCCACTTCCTGTTAATCCACTTAGTTAAATTAGTTAGATTTTTCGACATTAATGGTCAATGGTAGGAAATTTTCGTAAAAGTTTTCTCAGCAACTACTTATCACAGTCCCTTGATATTTGGCATACAGCATTGACACATTGTCCCATACCGTGGGATTTTATTTCAGGTCTGTCGCTCATCCACTTCCTGTTTATCCACTTAGTTAAATTAGTTAGATTTTTCGACATTAATGGTCAATGGTAGGAAATTTTCGTAACAGTTTTCACAGCAACTACTTATCACAGCCTCTTGATATTTGGCATGCAGCATTGACACATGGTCCCATACTGTGGGATTCGATTTCAAGTCTGCAGCTCATCCACTTCCTGTTCACATTAATGGTCAATGGTAGGAAATTTTCGTAACATTTTTCTCAGAAACTACTAATCACAGCCTCTTGATATTTGGCATACAGCATTGACACATGGTCCCATACTGTGGGATTCGATTTTAGGTGTGTAGCTAATCCACTTCCTGTTTACCTACTGAATTAAATTTTCACCATTATAGGGTCAATGGAAATTTTTTTTCGTAACATAACAGCCTCATGATATTTGGTGTACAAATGCAACCCGTCCTTTTCTGTCTTTGACCCATTTTTTTAGCATAATGTTATTAAACCAACTGCCCTTACTTTAAGATTTAACTTTTAACTTAATTTGGTATAACATTTCTAATTCAGCAGTGTCCCTACTATCTGCATTTAAACAACTGCAAATTGAATTCCTCTAGCTCTAGTTTATTATATGAACTACTATTATTTCAAATTTGCTTTGCTATTAAGACAGGACAAGTTTTTCATCAAAATTAGCACTATTTAGCATTGACTGTCATATCAACTGCTGTTTTTAAACTGTATTTCTTCTAAATAAATATTCATGTGACCTTTATTAACAGGAAAAAGGTCAAACAGGAAAAAGGTCAATAATGGTACAGACACCCAATAAACCAGTGTCCTCTTTATTAAAGTCACAAAAAACGTAAAGAAAATGATACAAAAATTTGATAAACAGGTGGTCTTAAAATGAGAATTAAAACATTGTTGAAAAGTGTATTGTCTTAAAAATGAAACAATCTTGAACTTATGTTTTGTTGTTTTTATTGCATTATATTTTGTTTGCTTTTAGTAAAATTAGATACATGCATTATTTTAAAGAAGGTTATAATGAAAAACAGAAGTGCCTGTTTTTAAAGGTCACACTTTTGCCCTTTATACATGTTTTTTTCAAAAACCATAATTGTACGGAGAGACTGCTTCTTATAAAAGACCATGATGTCATGTCTTATATGGAAGGTCTTATCTCCTTAGTTTGACAGTTTTTCTACCTGAGGATATACAATTTGTTATAATGGTGTTAAATTTGACAAGTCCATATATTAATGAGCATCCTGATCTAAGCATATTGAATAGATTTATGTGTATTAGTTTCTTGATTTGAAATAAAGTTAGCTCCATTGTAATGGCTCATGATAATAATTGTTTTTCTCATGATGAAATTTCTGTGTTTGCTATAAAATGCAGAGGTTAAAAATACTTTTACAAATTTAATTTCTTAGTTTCAGGAATTAAGAATATGTTGAAATATTTTTTACTAGATATAACTTTAAGGATATGATAAATCATGTTTTTTTAGCTTAATGATGGAAATAATGTAAATCTATAAAAGTTGTTTGCTTACCTAATGACTCATAATGTCATAATGTTTTTTATGCTGTTTTTACTTCAAATTGATAAAAAGAGAGAAACAAAAATTATAATCACACAATTTCAGCTTATTTAAAAATGTGGAACAAAATTATGATCACTAGAGATATTTCTGCCTACTTTTAAAAGTGAAATTATTATGTTGCAGCCTCGTTGGATGTATGTATATTTATGCGGGACAGATCAGGAATACATGTACAGTTAGAGGAAGGTCATCATGCAGAGGCTGATGATCTGTTCGATATTGTACTACAGGATCAGGGTTTACCTGCAGAATGTGAAGATGTGTTCGCCTTGTGGCTTGTTTCTCCATTACTAGGTAAATATTGGTTTTTCTCTCCATTATTAGGTAAATATTGGCTTGTTTCTCCATTATTAGGTAAATATTGGCTTGTTTCTTCATTATTAGGTAAATATTGGATTGTTTCTCTATAACTTAGTAAATGTTGGCTTGTTTCTTGCTTGTTTCTCCATAACTAGGTAAATGTTGGTTTGTTTCTCCATAACTAGGTAAATATTGGCTTGTTTCTCCATAACTAGGTAAATGTTGGATTGTTTCTCCATTACCACATTGTAGGTAAATATTGGCTTGTTTCTCCATTTGCTTGTTTCTCCATTATTAGGTTAATATTGGATTGTTTCTTCATTACTACATTGTAGATAAATATTGGTTTGTTTATTTGGCGAAAATCTGAATATTTTTATCTAGAAAGTGACAAGATTAGTGCACATATTAAACAGATATAAAAAAATAGATAGCTAAATTAAAGTTACACTTACAAGTTTTGTCTCAAGATGTAATAATTGATAAGTAGCAACAAATGATACACCAACAGTTGAACCTATTGACTTCTATATAAGGAAAAAGAAAATTAATTTATTGTAACAAAGGTTACACAGTTTAAATTTGATCATATTTGTAATGTAAATTGATGCTTAATTTATATTAGAGTTGAGATTAAAGAAGAAACACAAACCATTCTTTATGGTACAACAGTGGGACGAACTCTGCTCAAAATACACAGACGCAAAAGCTGAAGAAATACATGATGGTAAATATGATTATTTCACACTTGTTACCTAAAGAAATTATTGTAAAATATTGTAGTAAATTTTTGTATATATTTGATTTATTAAGTTCTTTGACACCAGTAAAGAGCAAGGCCAGCAGTCTTGACTAGATTTTATACTGATGACCAATAATACTTTTAGCTGTTTGATTACTAAGTACACTGATACTGAATTTCCTTAAACTGCTGTAGAAAAAAATCAAATCCTTATTTGGCATTGAATTTATTGGCAAAATCATAATATCTTTAATACTATAGTTTTACACAAGTACAGTATTTATTTATTGATAATATACAGGATCATTATTTTTCACGCTGATTATTAAGGTCAGTGTATCGAATCAATAAAGTGTTGTTAATTTTTTATATAACATTTGTGTCGGATATATTTTGATATAATTGTATTACTATTTATTATTATAATTATGATATCGATATATCATTGCTCATGCTCTTCTCATGTTGTATATTAACGCCGCCATTGAATGTATGGTGATAAATAGATAATATGTGTATATGTAAATAAAATAATTGAATTTAATTCATATTTAGAGCAGGGCATGCTCTTTACACAAATTTAGTTGGTTATACATGTAAACCAAGCTAAGTTGTTATAAGCAAATTTAATATTAAAAAAATGCTTAAAAAATAATTGATTTTATGTATAGCAACATAAATCTAATTGATTACAGGAAGAAAGCAATATGAATTTGTAAAAAATACATACAATTCAAGAAAAAGAGATTTTCATACTCTGTAGCTTTTATATAAGATGAATTATCCATTTGGATACAAAATTGAAATAAATTGCCCCTTTCTCTGGTACTATTAAGATTACTGATTTTAAACCACTTTCTATCCACTTTATGATTGGTTCAAAGAAGAAATATTATTCAATTTCAGATGAACCAGTGTTAATGTTCCAAAGAAATGTTTTCTTCCCGAAAGAACGTGAAGTAAATGTAAGTGAAGGATATTTTAGAATTTATTATCATTTAGATGAATGACCATTTTTACATATTACAGATATATGTTTGACAAAACTATGTTTAGTCTGGTTTACTTGACCAAATGAAAGGAATAGTTTTCTGAAAGCCTTACCTAAGGATATTAGAGAAAAGGATAGAAAATTTTAGTGCCATTTTGCAAACATACAGAATGATTTTTTGTAAATAATTATAATCATTGAGTTTTGTATTTTAGATCACATATGAACAAGTACTACGCATTTTATACCATGAGGCCAAGTATAATGTATTAGAAGGCAGGTATATACTCAACTCAGATGAGTACCACACACTGGCTGGTATTCAGGCATTACTCAGCATGGATAAATATAACTCCAGAGATCATATTATAGAAACTTACAGGTACATTGTATGTGTTTTCAAGTGTTTACTTGTCTATAAGTCGGACCATTTGTAAGACAGTCTAAATTTTGATTTTGAAAAAAATTATCAGAAGTCATGTGATAGAAACTTATTTAAATCTTCAAATCAGTTGCCCCTCACTGCTGTGGGTTTGAATCCTGACAGGGACTTTACATTCTTCCAACCTAAAAAAACCTAAAAAAATATGATAACCTTAAAGGACTTTCAATGAAATGCTTAAATTTAGTAATATACCTTACCTTGCCTGCTTCTATAGCTCTCCCCTTTTCCCTCACTGCCCTAAAGAAGTCAAAAATCACTCTTGGTACCTTGCTGAAGGTCAATAGCTCTTTTCAGGAGCTCACATTTGAGTACCTGAAAGAATGCACAAAAGGAGATTCTAGGGCTTTTCCTCCACTAGTATGAGCTGGTAAGTTGCCCAATGATTTATGTTGTATTTATTGCTTGATATCCAACCAAATGACCTGTTTTCTTCCAGAGCAAGCTTGCATCAGTTTTATCCAGAGCATGTTTACAGAAAGCCAACAGGTTTTTTCGCAAAGCGTAAAAGTCAAGGTCCAAAGGATGCTGTTGAAGAGCGATGGCTTAATGCTCACCGTCAGGTTTCTCAGGAATATGAAAATGATGATATTGAAAATAAACGTGGGGAATTATACCGCCGATATCTGGAGATTTTATGGCCTTATCCTTTTTATGGGTAAGGGAGACAACTTTTATCATTATTATAGTTATTCTAGAAATGTAAAATAAAATTATTGAAATTTTCTATGAATATTTCATTTATTCATTTCCTATGAATACTTCATTATTAATATATGCATTGATATATTACATGCTAGTTCATGTTTAGAATTCAAAAATTTTGAATAAATCCTTTATATATTTATATATGATTTTTTTTATTCACATTCTTTTTCGTCAACTTTTTTTCAAAATGTATATATATGCACATGGATGTATTTAGTCAAAAGTTGATATTTGTTGACTAGTTCTTTAATCTAGGATAGAGAAAATAACACTTCATTTAAAAAAAATTAGCAATGCTTATTTGCAGTTAATGATACAAAATATCAATATTGAAAATAAAGATGAAAAATGCATTATCTATGATCATGTTCAGAGTTTTATCTCATGATGAATTTCAGGGCAGCTTTCTTTGACAGCTTTATAAACAAACCACAGGGTAAATTGGGATTCTTGAAACGTTCACACAATATTGAGACATGGACAGCTATCAATACAAATGGTGTATGCTTGATAGATAGGGAAAAAGATGTAAGTTACTAGCTATTACTCAAAACATTGTATCCTGTTTATTCACTTACATTTTTTTAGCAAGATAGTCTTTGGGATCTTTCTGTGTCCGTCATTTGACATTAGCTAGAAGTTTTTTTTAAGAATTAGACTATTTGAAGAACATGGAGAGCAATTCATCTCATGTTGAAGTCTGTTTCTTCATCCATGTAAGCTTTTTGAAACTTAGAATACTTAATTATAACCTTCAGCAGATTTATACATGACAAGAGTACATAACTTTTACATCATTGAATTTGATTGAATTATGTCCCTTTTATCACAATTTTTTATTGTTTTCAAACAGACAAATTGATTATTTATACAGTTTTTACAATCATAATCTACTATATCTAGCATTCATTTTCAAATTAAATTCTGTGCAGGGTCTTTCAAATAGAATTTGATTTTATTAATAGAATTTGAAAAACCTGAACTGTGTAATTTGTCAAGTGGAACAATTAATGTTTTATTTTCAAATTTCTCTCCGCGTATAGGAAGTACTGCTGGCGGTACCTTATACAGAATTATGTTGGGAGTATGGAGAGCCTCAGTTTGATGTTGATGATGATGCTTTCCCTTGTGTCTTTCTACAGTTCCTCGTGAATGAAAGTATGCCTGAGGGGGGCGACAGAAAGGTCACCAAAGTTCTACAAGTGTATTCCAGACAGGTATAGTAAAGACAAACAAGTTTGCAATGTCTTTGATAATTTTGAGATGTAATGAAGTTGACATTTTGTGTGTATTTATTTGTTTTTACATCTGAATATTAGGTGTGGATAATAGTAGGGGATAGTAAGTGTTCCCTATATCTTGAGTAAACTTTGTAACCTCTTGTTTAAAAGTCTGGAAAAGGAAGCATTAATTACAATACAATTACATGAACATCTCAGACTCAGTTTGATTGAATCTGTACATTAGGGATAATGAAAATGTGCAACATGCCCCTCAGCTTTGAGCGGTACTCAATTTTCAACGTTCTGGAATCTGAGTTTGAGTTGCATTTGATAAGCAAATTTGAAAAATCTTTATGCAGGTGTTCATTAAGTGGCTGTCTCCAATATTATAAATTGATTTGTCAATTATTTACTTATATAAAATACTTCATTTATTTTCTCTCCATTTGCAATGTATCTAAGTGAAACAACATATTATTTATGTTCAATTCCAGGCAAAAATGATGATAGCTTTAATAGAATCATGTGTTGAACGTAAGAAGTTAGCAAGACGAGGTATTCCCGCACTTGATGATGTAGATGGTATGACAGGCGAGAATGGTAAGATATTTTCCTACATTGGTATTGTCTAGGTTAGATTGATATAAAATAATGTGTTATAGCAATATGTGTGTTGTTTCTTGTTGTATGAAAACCAGAAGATGCCCTCGTGGTGATGGTAACTAATTTCAAATTGCCTGCCCCTAGCCACTATGGGTTTCGAATCTGCTAATGCCTGAAATAATGCACTTAATGAACTTTTTAATTAGCCTAACTTGAATGTCCCCAAATGAGTTTCATAGTATTGTTGTGACTTAAAAACAACTTGGAAAAAATAAAATATATAAGTTAATTGTCTGTTATAATTATTCTTAAATGATGAAGGGTAGATTTTGACATTTTATATTTGTTGAAGAAAATAAATGTAATTCCAAAGAAAATATTGAAGCTTGTTTTGGACCTGACAAATTTATATACTTGGTAAGTTATGTGGTTTAGTGCAAGTAATGTA